TGCGCTCCTCATTCTTTCATCCACAATTATAAAATCTATCATGCTTCTATCATCCCCTCTTTCCCATGTATACATGTGAATCCTCTTATGGCGAAAGAAAGTATTCGTCACAAAAAGATTCTTTTCCACACATACGGTGAGGAGGTCCTCACCATTCTCATTTATTCTTTCATCGCCAAACGTTCCTAATATCCTTTCATAACCAGACCTCTTCACCCCAACCCTTCCATTAAAATCTCCTAACATAATAATATTTTCATTTTCCTTACATTTCATCAACACCAGCCTTACCATGTCCCAAAACTGCTCTCGGATATAAGTGGGCTTAGACATATCTGGGGCGTACACCCATAGCACAAACAACTTCTTTAAGCCCACTTTCATTCGTATCCACAGCAGCCTTGGGCTAACACATTCATACTCTTTCACACATTGACCCATTCTTTCTGAAAGGATGACACCGACTCCCTGGCGTGCCCGCTCGGTCTCGTCTACTCCAGACCAGTAAGCGGTATACATGCCATGTGCAGTGATATCTCTTCCCTTTCGTTTCGTCTCGTTCACACATAACACATCTATTCCTCTATCATTCATCATTTCGCATACTTCATCCATCTTATCATTCATTGCTCCACATACATTCAGCGTAGCCAGACGGGCCTCTGCAATCCACTTTTCGCCCTCCCGGGAGACAGGACGTGACGGGTGGCGAACCTCGTCGCCGGTTTTTCTCCCGGAGATTCTTCGCACCCCTGCCCCATTAAAGGGGCGCCGGGAACTCGGGGCCATTTCTTTTTCTACTTGGCTCATGGGTCGAACTAAGGGGTGGTAGATTTTACGGCGAGAAGCCGAGTCTGTCGTTTCGGCTTTGTCGCTCGTTTAGCACCACCCGGGGGACACGTGTAGGGTGGGCCTAGGATTAGGTGGTCGAAGCCTATGGACGCGAGCGACTCATCCCCCATCCATTTATAAAAATATATTTATAAAATCTCATATTATTTGTAAATATTAATATTTATATAATACTCAATGCCTTATTTTATGATACACAAAGAAGTGGAAGAAATGGAGGAGGCAAATGCCTACATCTATTTCTTCCAGTTTTTCCAATCCAGCCCCATTTACACTTAACAAGTGAATAGTTGTCAGATAATCATTTTAGCTGTCAGGTATTTTTTAATTAGCTATTCCTTACTATACTAGAATTTTTTTCCGTGTAGTTTGAGTCATAAATCATCGAAGTATTTCGTTCCATCTCCCACTCACGGGTCTTAGGGCGAACATAGTGATGCGCATTATTGTTGTCGATAAGGGTTATTGATATACTTTATTCCAATTACGAAGTCCCTTTTGACACTTCTTAGAACGTAACTCTTCACGTTTCGCATAATTTGAAATAATAATCATTTTTGTTCATGGTCGTAAATCATCATTTAAAAATACACAATCAATCTAAATCGTTATACAATTAATTCACACACACAATCAACATATTGTTTTTAGAGATCGTGCTCAAAATAATTAAAACTTTAAAAGATAATAATACTTTACTGCCGTTTTGCGTTTACGTTCTATAGTTTTATTTTTACTTTTTTACATAGTGACATGACTAAAAGAATCGCATAAAATCGATTATAGACAGATTCTTTTCGCGAGTGAAAATCTGTCAACACTGCGTACACCTCGTGATCACGACCGCTATTTTGTTTGTCTCTTCAGTACGAGTGCAGAAGCCTTGTATACGATACGCGTGTTCAGTTTAGTTGATTTTGTGTTGTGTTTTTATTTCGTTCTTGTTATTGTAGTTATAACTGTTTGATAATTCTTTCGTTGTTATTAAGTTTGGATTGTTATTTTATTTGTTTTTTTTTTTAATTTATAAACACTATGGCCGAAACTGAGACCACTAAAAGAACAGTGATGCGCAGTCAAGCGCGAGAGTTTGTAGTACGCCTACAAGATTACTTTGAAAGAGAGTATCAGAATGGTGGTCCATTGTTGCCACTTTCACAAGTGACTAACCTAGGAAGTGCAGCTCTTGGAATTAGTCGAAAAACTGTTTCCCGAATAAGTAAGGAAAAACATGGTAAAGATTTGATGGAAGATAACAAATTAAAATCGCCACCTAAGAATAAAGTTAGAAGATCGATAGTTACACATATAGACAATTTTGATAACGGCGCCATTAGAAACCATATCTATGGCTACTATAGTAGGAACGAATTGCCGACTCTCGATAAATTGTCAAATACTTTACGAGAATCTGGACTGTTTCACGGCAGTAGAACTTCTTTCTGGAGGGTTTTAAAAAATGTTGGCTTTTCTTATAAAAAAGGTGATAAAAGGCGGATTTTGATGGAACGTAGAGATATAGCTTTAGCCAGATTTAATTTTCTAAGATCAGCGAAGTCCATTGCCGTTTGGAATAATGTTATATTTCTAGATGAGACGTGGCTAAACGCTAATCATACAGTTGGCAAGATATGGACAGACGACACCCTCACTCCTCCACAAAAGTACCTAGTGGCAAAGGCGAACGCTTAATTATTTGTCATGCGGGTTCCATGAAGGGATTTGTTCCGAACTGCCTCTTGACATTTAAATCTAAGAAAACTGTGGAATATCACGAAGAGATGAATTTTGTTAAATTTAAGGAATGGTTTTGTACCTTATTGACCAAATTGAATGAGCCATCGATGATCATTATGGATAATGCACCGTATCATTCAGTACAAATAAGTAAGCCTCCAACTTCTAGCAGCAAAAAAGCCGATATTGTGAAATGGCTGAATGACAATAATATTGTTGCTGACATGTCCATGTTAAAAGTTGAGCTGCTGCATTTGGTTGCTATAAATAAGCCAGCTAGACCAAAATACGTATTGGACGAAATGGCTAAGGAAGCCGGACACAATGTAATGCGCCTTTCACCCTACCATTGTCAATACAATGCCATAGAATTGATTTGGGCGCAAATTAAAGGCAAGAAATTAAACAAATCTTTTTTATAATTTATTTTTACCTATTTTAACATTTTATCTGTTGCTATATTAACACGCAAACCTTTATTTTAGATTATGCGGCTCGTAAAAATACCAGCCCACCTTTTACTGCAAACAAAATGCTGTCATTGTTGCAAGAAGCTTGTGATAGTGGTACTGCCGCGAATTGGGGAAAGTGTGGTTTTACGAACAAAAAATTTGATTTTCGCTGATTGGAACAGAGACGTACATATCGATGCCGTCATAGATAACCAAATTATAATAAATACAGGGGATTCTACAGACGATGATGATGGTGATGACGACGATGCCGACCATGAAATATCTATTTCGGCTACTGATGATGAATATGTTCCATCTTGATAAAAATATCATGTAATATTATCTAATTAAAATTAAAAAATAGTTTTATAAATTTTAATTTGATGCTAATCCTTTATCTGTCAATACGATTATAATTTGTTCGTAATAGTAATCTAAGATCAATATCGTCAAGTATTGACTTTGACTATAGCGGTACTTTACTAGTACTTGATTATTGACATCTGTCAAATGGGACTTCGTAATTGGAATAGAGTATAGTGTATTTAGTTTTGTCATTATGTGGGTTAGTGATAAAAATTTAAAAAAAATAGATAAAACAACGTATTTATTAAAATAAGAATAATAAAGATTTAAAATAAATTATTTAATTAGGTATCTATGTTTAAAAAAAAAACTATAAGTACAAATGTTTGGAATGTTACATTAAAAATAAATAAAAAGATAATAACTTATATCTAAAATTAAATCTAAAACTATTTACTGTTTATTTGTTGTTATGGATAATGGCTTTGCGTCCGCGCCGCCGCCCTAGACAGTTATAATTTTTTTTATATATAAATATTAAATATGTAGCTTTCTACATAATTATTTATTTAGTTAATGCATTGACGTCGTATTGTTCACATAATTAGGTACCTATAGCAGCTGCCTCTTGAACGTCATTCATGTTAAGGGTGCGGGAGACTCAAGATGAATGAGCTCTTCGCGAAGTAGCACGAGTGTGGTCATGTTCTTCGGACTGCGATCGACTTCGACGAGCACTTCGTCGAAGTTACTTCGCGAGTAGTATAGAGGAAGCATTATACTTCTATGGATTCACTCATTTTGGCGAATAGAAAAACAATTGAAAAATGACGAGAAATTGTTATTTAATCATTCTTTTTCTTAGTTTCCTATATGTATTGATGTTAAAACCAGCCAGATTAAGGAACATACTAGGAGCCAGATAGAAACAGTAAAACCAGAGATTTTTAATATAACTGGCTTTACGGCTCTGGGTTCTAGCCTTTCTGAGCCTGAAGTTACAATACAATATAATTATCCTTCATAGTAGGTACTCTGCTTCACAATATGTTGATGTCACATTATGCAGCCCTTGGGAGATTTTGACGGCAACTTGAGTATGGAGTGTAGAGTACAAACTTGAGCCAGCAGACGGCTAACAGTTAGCGATGGTATCTTGGTAGAATCTACTAGTTAGTCTGTGGATATCTTAAGGCGCCTAATCAGACCAATCAGACAGACACCTTATATTGAGAATCACATCACCATCATAGCACTTGTTTCACCGTTTCCACTAGTAGTACACATGCGCAGACACTTAATACACAAAATCGCGCCACTTTTGCACATCAAATTCCACTACAAACCATTATTTAAACAATAATACGGGAGGAGCAACCCGCCGCCGCTCCAGTTCCCGCCAAAACCCTCAATTTTTCTTCAATGTTATACAAACAAAATACGAAGAAACTTTTTCCCCAACCTATTCTTTCTTTATTGCCTTATTATAAAATAAGACATGAAAATGGCGCAAGTTTAATTACTAAATTGTAGCATTACAATCACTATTCATAAATCAAACAAAAATTTGTTTTTTAAGTAATTTATTTTAAATGCATACAATAATAACTACAGAATGATTCTATTTCTATTACATATAACTTAAAATATTTACTTCTTCGCTGCAGCCTTTTCTCGTGCCTTCTTTCCTTCCAAGAGCTTTATTCTGTCATCTTCGCTAAGATTTTTATTTATTTTAGTGATGACACCAGTTCCTAATGTCAAATCTCCCAATCGTAAAGTGAATCTTTGACCAGCTTCACAAACCATTGGCTTTAGTAAACGTAGATGTAACCTGTTTGAATAATTAAAGAAATGCTCATTTTTTTATAAAAATAGACTAGAAAACAATAATTTTAATTAAAAACACAAAATTGGGAAATGTTACTTGTACAAACTTTTTTTTATTTCAAGTGATAATAATGGTTATAGTTTTAGCATAACTTAGACTATTAATAGAAAGAACTTTCTAATTACAACAATTATCTAATTATACTCACGTAGCATCTTCACCAGGCATTACCATTTCTTTTTCTGGAATGTTTACTTGTGTAGCACAATCCCAAGTCATGGAAAACATTTGTAGTTGTATAAATGATGTGAAGGGTTTTGACCGACCACCCTCTTCTTTACTTAAAATGTACACTGCCGCTTCTAAATTGTCATGAGCTTTAACTGTACCAGGTTTTGCCATTACCATTCCACGTTTAATTTGTTCTCTCTTAATAGAACGCACAAGAGCACCCAATTGATCTCCAGCTTGAGCTTCTTCCAATGTTTTATGGAACATTTCAACTCCAGTAACAGTGGTTTTCATTACTTTTCCATGACCAACAATTTCACATTCCGTACCTTTCTTTAAAACACCTATAAGGTAAAACAAAATATAACACAATAATTAATAATACTGAATTAATAATACTCTGTGCAAATGCCCAATATATAACTAAGAATGAAAAGGTTTATTTTCAAGTTATTTTAGTATTAGTAGTAGTACATACATAGTAGCACATATTAGTCTTGCGAATAGCGTCTTAAAGGCATTTGGTCTATGTAATGCATCCTATAGTTTCAGTCATCTGTAGACTGAAACTAAACCTTTTCAAAATCATTATTTTTGGATGGATTTAGTTACGGCCGTCCATAGTCTTCTACCATTTACTTTTTTTTTAATTTTACACTTTCAAAATTAACATATATGCAACATGTACCACATTAAAAAGCTAAACTATAATGATCATATGGCCTATATAGCTCTCCCTCGGTATAATATATAATAATAATATAATTACAATAATAATAGCCTTTTATTCCTAAACTTAGGGTTACAAGAGGTCCCTAAGTTCGGTGTGCCTTTTGGCATAGGCCTCCTCCAATTCCTTCCAATGGTTCCTGTCCCTTGCTACTCTCAACCAGAATGGTCCCGCTGTCTGTTTCAAGTCTGGGAAGACTCCCATCTCCTGACTTGACGACCCCTGCCTCTATTGCCGTCTCTTGATTGCCAGAGTGTGACTTGCTTGCTCAGTATAATATACCAGTGTAAAAAAAAAATAGTGTCATAATGCTTTTGTATTTCCATATGGTAACTGAAGAACCTTTAACTGGTGACGAAGTATTTCATCTTAGTAATGTTATCAACCCTCTCAGGGTTGACAACACTATCTCATTTGGATTCACCATTTGGGATAGATAGATGTAGGTGTGTAAGGATCACAGCATCCACTTCCATTAGGTGAACTTAGTGCTTGTTTTTCATTATTTTTTTTTATATAAAAAACAATACTAATAACGCTGCAGGAGTTCTTCTCTTAAAGGCAAAGCATCAATATTTAGCCTCTAGGCGAAACATCGCCTCTCTTGTGATCAGATGCTGTTGCAGTTCCTTTAGCTTTCAGCTTTCAGTTGATATTGAAGATGAAAAAACTTAAATTTCAAATAAGAAGGCAATATGTTGGATATTGCCTTGAAATAATACTATACAATGAATAAAAATATAATGTATGAATGTAGGCCTTCTCCTTTCTTAGGGGAGGCCTATATTCAGCAGTGGGGTTGTAAACGTTTTTTTATAATGATAATGAATGTTAATAAAACAGAGAAAATAACATTAAAAAAAAGATGTCATTAAAAATTTTACCTCTGTGTAATCTTCCAGTGACAACAGTGCCTCTACCAGGTATAGAATGCACAGATTCTACAGGCAAAAGGAAAGGCTTATCTAATTCCCGAACAGGGGTAGGTATGAATGCGTCCACTTCTTGTAGCAGCTTGGTTATAGCTTCAGAGCCAATTTCAGGATTTTTACCTTCTAGAGCACATAATGCAGACCCTGCGGTATGGAAAAATTTAAAGTAATTTAGAGAGTAAGCTAAAATAATATTTTTATTCAATAAAGGTTAATATCAATATTGTAATATTTTTATTACTTCTAGAAATTGATAATAACCTGCTAAAATATGCGAGAACTTGATAGATGCATGTCATTTAGGATAGTGTTTTATTGCATGGAGGGAAATAAAATATAATTGTGTCAATGGGCTAAGGTCTATTAGCATCAACTAAGAGTTATTAAACTTGAAGGTTCATTATTATAATCACCTTTTATAACAGGCGTATTATCACCGTCATATCCCATTTCAGTCATGAGTTCACGAATTTCCATTTCAACAAGTTCCACCATCTCCTCATCAGCAGCATCAACTTTATTGATGAATACTACCACATGTTGGATTCCGATCTGTTTAGCAAGTAACAGATGTTCCCGAGTTTGTGGCATCACACCGTCAGTGGCAGCTACAACAAGAATTGCACCATCCATTTGCGCCGTTCCAGTAATCATGTTCTGGAAACAGTTAACAAAAAACCTGAGTGCATGTTTTGTACCATGTTACTTCCTGTTTGTAATATATAGTGGATTAATGAAAACTGTATACTCAAAAATTATTTTTATTGTTAATTACAAGTATCAATAATTTTAAAGTAGTTAAGTATCTTGAACATAGCTACACTTTTCCATAATATTACACTAGAAAATATAGACTCCTCCAAAATGTCAAAATCAAAATCACTAGGTGTTTAGATCAGGGCAATATAATAAGTGAGGTAGGGTACACATATGTTTTTTAATCAAAAAACATGTGTACAGTTCACATGCGGTAGAAGTGAAACCTTCAAATGAAATGAAATATATAATAACAATATTTCACGTCAAACAATTTATTAAATATGATAATTTTTAAATACAAGTGCGGCATAAAATTTAAGATAAAAGTTTCATTTTATAGTAAACAAATGTTGCAATCCTCATTTTTAGACTTAATTTTAGTGTAATAGATCAAAAGTTATGTATCTTTCGAGTAAAATTGCTTTGTAATAGCGCCATCTATTTCATTCTATAGGTAAAGTCATTTCATTGAACAAAATTGATTGACTCTCAAGGTGGTACATAAGATAGGCGCTAGATGGCATATACACGAATAATTTAATATAAAATGGTAAGCTATGAAGTTGTAAATTGTTATGAATGAATTGAATATGATAATTTTATTCAATATTTATTTATTTATTTATTTATATGGTTAATTTTATTTATTTCATAAGAGTGTTAAATTTTTAACTGCTTATTTTAACAGTTAAAATGTATATTAACCATCTTTAATGCACCACAAAAAGAGGAGAATGAAATAATAGAAAACACTATTGTTATAAATAAATACTAGCAATGCTAGTCACATTACTAAAATTCCCTCTGGCTATTATTGGTAAGCTTAAAAAGAATTGAATTGCAGATTCAAACCCACTAACTTTTGAATTTGCAGTCCGCACTCTGCCATTATTAGGCTACTGTCGCTTACTATATTCTATCTCATTCTCACACTGGGTAAATCCTATAGATGTATATGTTTGTCTCTTTTTAGTGTCGCTTTTTTGTTTCATCCAGTTTCAAAACACAACAATGCTATAGAAGTTTTCACTTCAAAAATGGAGTGGGGCCAGAGGCGCCAGGATAATACTTTTGGAACACAAAATGTTATATGTGGTAGAGTCATGCTGCAGCTATATTATTAGTATGGTTGTAGCACAAATGGGTCGGCTAGACCGGGGAAGGACATACTTATATTGTCTGCATTATAAACAATATATATTATAATCTATAATTGTATAATCCATAGATACCTAATTGGTTTGTAATAATTATATAGTCTGTACTTCTGGTGCAATTTAAATATAAGTACAGACGTTCATTACTAACAAGTTCAAATAGTTAAGTATCTTAACGGACATGCAAACTTTTTTACCAACCATAATTATTGTATTAGAAATATAATAATTGTAATAGTTCTAAGGAGCTTTATTTAATCTTCCTTGTTCTATTGTGAACAAGAATCATCCACAACTGTGCTGTAGTCTGCATACTGATAGATACAAAGCAGAAAGAGAGTATTTGCGGTCACTGAGGAGTTCATACTGTTATAGGTATACCATGCTGTTATAAAAAAAATAATGTATACTATGTAATATATTTACATCATACTACAGATTAAATAAAACAAATTTTAGTTATAGCATTTGGTTGTGACTTTTTAACTCCCGATGTTTTGATGTTTTACAGCACTTATGTTCATAGTGGGATCCGAGGTGTTTTACATCCAGATGTAACACCATACCATAGTAAACAAAGGCTACCTTCATCTTTTAAATATTTTTGTTCATAAAAAGTTTGTTCCAGAGACCATGTGAAAAAAATTTATGCTAATATATGATATTAGTTATACTATGTCACACAACCAGTACTATTACTAAGGAGGTGATGAGTCAATGATAAGTACCTTAGGCTGCAAACTTATCTGCCACCACTTTGGACATCGCAAAAGCCCTACCCTATTAAATCATAGCTATATAATGAGGTATGTTTTCTCTCATGAAGTTGGAGACATCTAGGTTTAGGTGAATTCTAGACTTTCTGGAGATGCCAAAACCCCAGGCATCTTCCATACCCATGGTGACGTTTTTAATATTCCACAATACAAAGATGAATTACGACATTAAGATACAACTTTACCTTGATATAATCAGCATGCCCTGGACAATCAGTATGACCATAATGTCTTTGTTCTGTCTGATATTCAACATGGGCAACATTAATAGTAATTCCACGGGCCTTCTCTTCAGGAGCATTATCTATATCTGTGTAGCCTTTCTTTTGAGCCAAATTTAGGTCAGATAATACTAGAAAAAAAAATAAAAATTTAAACAGGACTTTTATTGTCGTACATTACATCATTATTCAATCCAAAATTATTTTTAGGTTTGAAATGTTGTTAAAATACAAAATTAAAATAATATTTCAATTGCACTGGTACTAGATATTCCTAACCTTACCTTTAGTAATAGCAGCAGTTAAAGTAGTTTTTCCATGGTCAACATGGCCAATGGTACCAACATTACAATGTGGTTTTGTTCTTTCAAAGACTTGTTTCTCAGCATAATTTCTCCGAAGCACTATGCTTAGTGGTGTCAATACTGGTAGGCCAGTAGTATTTACCAGGTATGAACATTGGTTATGTTTAAGCACCAACTTTAAAGCTTAAAAATTTATAAAAATTTAAATAAGTATAACAATTATGTGTTTACATACCATTGATTATTTCAATTACTTCAAATGAGGCTTAATATATTTAATTTTTAATAATCATCCAATAAATAATGCTTTAATAATAAAAGATTCCCTCTTGAGATTGCTCTAGTTATTAATGAAGAAGGGCTTCGAACTTGATTTAAAAGATAAGAAGAACTTTTATATTTTGTTTTGGCTCACCGCTTACTTAACGGTCAGCCACTGTAGAGTCTATATCACCTGAGGATGCCTCGTGAAGAGGCGAAACACGTGTCGTATTGTCGTCAGCGGTGTGTCTTTCCTAGTGTAGTGGTTTTGGGAGTAGTGGTGCTGGGATTAGTGGTGACGAGGATAGTGCACGCAATTGAGGGAGGGCGGGAGGTGCTCTTCATACTAGGTTAGACACATCATTTTATATTATTTTATAGAGCTGATGTTTGCAAAGTAACTTTTTAAAATCTTTTATATAATGGATTTCCGCAAAGTAACGCCTGATTCTATTAATTATAACCAATATCATAATTTTTAAATGAAAAGCAATTTCAAACCATTATTACATCCTAAGATTTTTTAAATGATAGGTGCTCAAAAGTCTAATTCCCTTCAGGTTAAATATTTTTTATAATATAAGTTCAGTTTAGGAAGTTTCTTTTAAATTGCAAAAATATTTAAAGTAATGTGCAGTTGAGCTGCTATATGCATAGTGCAAAATTGACTTGGATAATTTTTAAGCTCATTATTAAACTACTTCTGTTACTTGAAGTAATTGCCTACATATTTTAGGTATAAGATAGCCATAGATGGTTCAGTAGTACTAAATTTGGCTATGAAAATAAAGGCAATGGGTTCAAGGCATTTTTTTTAATAGAATAAGTGTGACAAATGAGCACACAGTCCACATGATGGTAAGTAGATGCTGTAAGCCATAGGCATCTTAACCTGTCCACATTTAAGAATCAAAATGCAGAATGTGCGGTTGCTCCAGAGGACTAAGATGAAATGTCTCATTCTCCAATAAGGGTCTCCGTTTCTCTACACTCACTAGACAAAACACAGCAGCATTAAGCTGATTTAGGCATGGAATGCAAAATGTTTTTAACAGTAGTAGAGCCACGCGGCAGCTTTTGCTGTCGCACAGATGGGCCGGCTCGAACCGGGGTGGTACCACGACCTCACAGAAAACCAGCCTGAAGTAGAGGTTTACCTCTGCGTTTCGCTTGGTGAGTGCAGGTGGCCGGAGGCCCTTTTTACTAGAAATGAGGCATTCCATCTTAGTCCTCACGGGTGACAACGCATCTACATATTTTTTTTTTTAGATTTTTAAACGTATATTAAAAAACGTATATTGATTTTTAATAGAGGATAGATGTAGATGTCTATGGGCCACAGCAACCACTTACCATCAGGTGGACTGCGTGCTCGTATGTCACCCTTATCCTTTTAATAAAAAAAAATGTAGTTTAGTTAAGTTTGCAATAGGCTTTTTTTTATTGTTATTTTCATTTTCAAAAAACTTTGACCGCACCTAGAATTTTCTCCTGTACCATGGAGGTTGTTTACATACATAAATTGCACAAGGACAAACATCCAGACCTGTAATATTTACTTTTTGATCATAAAAATAATTGTTCTGTGAGGGATTTTAACCCGCTGCCCTTGGTGCTATAACTCATTGCTAAGCCACGACAACACAGAGCCATCATAATGTAGTTATTTTCCATGATGTCCCTTTGATCAAATTTAGTAATCCACTAATTTAGCTAATCACCTTGGGGAGTAACCTCAATATACCAAGATGTTTAGCACTGCAATTGGGGACCTCCAGACATGCCAGTAGCATGTAAGCCTCCATTTCTCCTTTCCTCGTTCAAGCCCTGCTCAGTTATGTAACAAGTATTTCTATGGGCTTTTGTATTCGAGTTTAAGTATAATTGTGTCTCTCCGGTGGAAATCATAATTGGCTTTTTGATATTAAATATAATTGTGTTTCACTGTGTAAATCAGTATCAATTATAAGCCAATGTCCTTATTAATTTAATAACTATTTTAATTTAATAAATGTTACCATAATGTAAAATTATATCTATAATGTAAAAATTAACACATTTGCAAAGTGATTCTTATCAGGAAAAGCAGCTGCTGAGTCCGGTACCTTTTATTCATGTACAATTGTATTTGCAAAATATATTCAAGATATTGGGGAAATTCCTAGTTCCAATCATTTACAAATTAAAATTAAAAATAATAAATAAGTGATATATTGAGCTTAATTATGACCTTAAATTGTGAGAATTACAAGTACAGAAGTAGCATATATATATATATAATATATATAAATATATATATATATTACATATTTACAATTTATCACTCAATATTTTTGAAATTATTCATGTTCAAGCAGCTCAATACATAAATGAATATAAAAAAGCTGTACCTTCCATATCAAAACCTTGCTTTTACAATAAAATATAATAGTAGATACCGAAATTCTCTTTGATAATGGAACAGTATTAATGTACATAATATATAATAATCACAGATATTTAAGCATAAAAAGGCATGTGATAGCCACTCTTTTAATCTAAAAATAGGAGATAAAAGGATTTTTTAAATGCTGGGATCAATTAATAATCAAAATGCAGATAGGTACCTGGGTTAACCAAACTTTTAGCTAATGAAAAAGTCGCCATTTTCATAAGCCACAGCTGAAGCTGTGTTCTTCTAATTTGTTACAAACAAACAATAATATATATCAATGTAATAATTGAAATATTGAGCAATTTTAAATTTAATTGAAAGTTAATACAATTTTATTTAATTTTTCTACGCCTTGCGGTAATTCATAGATTACTATTATCTAATAATCTATGACCAGTGTTGCCAACAATTTATTTTCAGGTGTACATCAAGGTGGCTACTGACCTGCCTGCTGCAGGGGCGATCTAGGGTGTAGGAATGGGGATGACCCTTAATTGCCTCCTTAATTGTGATGTGTGTAGGCAAGCAGGGGCAATTTTTTAAATCGGCCCTGCGGCAGGGCAGCAGGAGCGCAGTGTTGCAAAAGTTCCCGATTTATCGGGAGATCTACTGATTTTAATTAGTATCTCCCGATATCCCGATTTAGCGAACGTATCTCCCGATTTTTTTACATTTTCAACTAATGTAAAATAATAATCATAAATAAAATTGAAAAGTAATAATCAAAATACTAAAATGAACTTTTAACACAAAATCTATGTACGGGGACTTCCCGAAATTGCTCGCACCACGTCCTTGGGACCTATACCTATAACCTTATTAGGTTTTTAATTTCGCGGTATGGTTAAAGCATATTGCACTGATACATCTTAAAATAGAGTTCATTATTGTTTGGTAAGTGTACGGGGGAAATCCCTAAAGATTACTTTGTTCGGGTTGTTTTACGAATTAGGTAGCTTAGGCCATGTATATATAGTGTTGTTCGTTCATAGAATTACATTCACTAATTACTAGTTCTTCTTCATTTTTGTTGAGAAATGTTGTGCTTTATGTCCAAATTTGTTAGGTAGCATTAGTTATCAAAAAATTAATTTAGAATGGCGTTTGCTTCTAAATACGAAACAAATTAAATCACTCAGTGAAGAAACAGAAGAATTTTGGAGAAGCGTGAGTAACAAAAATATATAATCATAAAATTTTAGTTTAAATTATAAAGACATTATTTTGATCGCAAAAAAAAATGAAACGAAAAAGAACGACATCTAAAAGAACGTTTTATGATACATTTCTAAACCCATGGATGTAAATAAAAATCTCCCGATTTCTCCAGATTTTAAGCTGGCAAATCTACCGATTTTTTATTTTTCACTTTTGCAACACTGCAGGAGCTTTGCCTTTTGGCTTTGCCGCTGTCGCGTGTATAGCCCAATTGGAGTAAAAGTCAGACCCGCAGAAAGAATGTTATTTGAACGTTGTAACCATAGATAAATATATATGTAGCAAGCTACAGATACGACAGTGACTTTTAGTCAAGTTTCCCAACTATGCCTTTTGGCGCTGCAGTCGCCCATTTTGACAGATGAGTGATAAAATAAAAAAAAATATAGCTTAGGGATTGCAAGCACACATCCTTCAAATCATCGATATCGATACTTAGCGATGTTCTTATTTTATCGATATCAACGTAACGACGCATTATATAGTTATATTAAAATATTACTTAATGAAACAATTTTGGTATATAAACATTTATTTTTTATTAATATCATATACATACACACGTAATCTTAGGATTAAATTAAAAGTACATTGGGTTATATTAAAAATGTACATAACATTGTATATAGGCAGAATTTGACGAAAACAGAGCAATATTTATTATTCATTAGATAAAGCAAATAGCAAATTAAAGAAATTAAACCACAGGAATCATATTTAATCATAGTGTAAGTAATATTTTACTTTACAAGTTACTTTTTATATTAATTTTAAAACAGCTACAATTCAAATAGTTATGAATTAAGTGAGTACCTTCCCTGTATAAGATAAAGAACTTTTCGCTAGGGTATGCCAAATTATTATTTGGTCTATATAACATTTGTTTGTTAGGCAAGACAAACATTTTTTCTAAGTTTGTAGTGTTTGGAGCTTTGTTTCATTAGTAGACATCCTATTAATTTTTCATTTAGGGTAAACCTGGCCATTTTTTAAATTGTTTTTTTAAATTGTTTAGATTAATAACAAAGTTATTTGTTTAACATTCAACTTCTCTATATTTTGACAGAGATTGGACATTAAGCAAGCTTTTGTGAGGCTTAGTCACCTAAAGATTCAGTTACAATCTTTGTCAAAATTTCAATATTTTATTATTGCCAATTTTATATACCAATTGTTACTGTAACATTACTGGGATTTGTTACCTAACTTATCATAAATAGTCAAATAATATTAAATTTGTTGGAATATAAATAAAATGTCAATATATAAATATTTAAACAAAAATACAAATTTTAGTAATTAAATTTTATTGAAACCATCATTAGAAAACTATCCTGGCTATTTGTAACACTAGTTAAATTATAGTTACTAAGCTCTAGATAGTTAAGTTATATCACAGAATAAATTGGTTATATTAAATTATGATTAGTAAAGTTAGTCATATTTAATTGTCTTTAATAGCCTAAAAATACCGTGGCGGAGCTATGCTGCAGGTTCTAAGCACTATATTCTGGTTGCAATTATTAATTAATTGGTTGTTTTATTGATAAATGTGGGTGTCTATAGGCCACAGTGTCCACTTACGATCAGGTGGACTGTGCTCATTTGTCACCCTTATTCTATATAAAAAAAGAGCCAAGGCTATATATACTGATTCATTGATATTTCGATAAAACTGGCGCCATTCCCAACGCGTGCGTCCAGCGAGACGTACACTCTCATCAAAGAGTATAGTAATTGTCCTATACAGGTTTTTTCTTCACGCCGCGGACCTCCGATTCCGCCAGATTTTTATATCGAATTCGCGAAGGACGCAAGACTACCGAAGTGTGACGATCCTACCGGCTGCGCCAGTCAGGTTTACGGGAACATAAAATGATTTTTTTAAAACTATTTAAAATCTATTTATTTCTAATAACAATAATTATAATTCTAATTACTTAATTAATACGTCTTGACAGAAGTCGATGTCAAAACGAAGTGGCCGCTCCCATGAGCTCTGCCCGATATCTCATGCAACCAAAAGCGCTGACTCTATAGTTACTGGATACTGCCTAATGCATATGCAGCCCTCTCTAGGTACAAACCCTAACAACCCTATGGTCTTGTGGTTGCATAACTAACTTATCTTTATTATTACAGATATTTCTAAGAGAATTTTTTGTTTTGAAAGCCACATAAACGCCGTTTTGTCGAAGAGTATTAGCTACTTTTTCAGATATGGGACCTAAGTAGGTCAAACTGTTCACATATCGACGAACACTTTGAGGTTGAACCGCGTACAGAGAGTTGCGTACGCGAGATTTTTTGAAAAACCGTTAGAGACCGCTATTTGATAAATTATACTAAACTCTTTTAAATAATTTTCTTTAGATTAATGTAACAATAAAAAGCGGCTAATTTTTGTTGCCACGAATGACATGATGACGCGGGGATGACCGTGTCGGTATGAGTTGGCTTTCGATAAATTTGGAAAACATGTGACGATTCTTTTCTTGTTATTGTTAAGTCGAGGAAATTAAGGGAACAATCTTGTTCCAATTCAAGTTTAAACGTAATTTTGTCGTGGACTCTATTTAAACTTGAAAACAAACAAAGGAACATGGAGTATAGAGTATTACTATATACTCCATGACTACAGCAATGAAATGAACTATGTACCACCTATGTACGCACAGACTAAAATGATTATGCATATACTATATAAATATAAAATAAAAAATGATTCATTCAAGGCGTAGACAGAGATATATAGATATATCTCTGTCTACGATTCAAAGTCATGATAAATACTTTTTATGAGAATTATTTTCTACATAGGAGACATGTTATTGTAGTAGTATGACAAAATAAAGTATTAATTTGTAAATTCATTTTTTATTATTTTTGGGGTAGAAAATCACCTTTCATTACTTTAAAGGAAGTGCGCATATTACTTAATTTGGTTGCTGGCCAGTGTTGCCAACAACTGAACTAGATCTCCACCACATTCAACTTCAAACCACCAGGTACCCACTAACAAACATAGACCCTATTCACAATCCCTAAATTTTCTACTAATCAATTTTTTGCTTATTACTGTTTGTTAAAAATAGGTACATTAGTAATTTTTCATTTTAATTATTACAAAATATGTTAAAAATATTAATTTTTATATAAATAATGAATAAATCAATATATAATGAGAAATCAATAGGTCAATATCATCATCATCATCATTATTACAGCCCATCACAAGTCCACTGCTGAACTTAGGCCTCCCCCAAGGAATGCTATACGCCCTATACTTCGTCCGCCGGTACGAGGCCGCCATTCGAGAACTTTTTCTCCATCGGTTGTCCGTTCTTCGAGCTATATGGCCGGCCCATTGTCACTTCAGCTTACTAATCCGTTGGGCTATATCGCTCACTCTGGTTCTACTGCGGATATCCCCATTTCTAAGTTTATCACGGAAAGAAACCTCAAACATAGCCCTCTCCATAGCTCGCTGAGCGACCTTGAGCCTCCTCATACGGCCAGCAGTGAAGGACCACGTCTCAGTTCCATAGCTCATCACTGGCAACACGCACTAGTTGTATAGTCTCGTTTTCAAGTTTTGAGATATACCTGACCGGAAGATGTGCCGTAATTTCCCGAACGCTGAATCCGTCGATTGACCTCTCGGTCGAAGTTGGACTTACCTAGTCGGACTATTTGTTACAGGTAAACATACTCGTCAACAACTTCGAGCTTAGTGCTCCTTACAAATACTATCAATATCTAATATCTTCGTTTTGTCCATGTTCATCTTAATTCCTATCCGTTGGGAGGCACTATTGAAGTCATTGAGCATATTGCTTAGGTCCTCCAACGATTCTGCCATAAGGACTATATAGTCGGTAAATCGAAGGTGAGTGATGTAGTCGCCATTGATGTTAATACCGTATCCTTTCCAGTCCAGTAGTTTGAAAACGTCTTCCAATGCAACGGTGAAGAGTTTGGGAGATATAACGTCACCCTGTCTCAAACGCTGGAAGACGTCGAGTGTGCACGCGAGACGATTCGTAATAACTCTCGAAAACAGCACGTAGACGTGGCTTAGAAGGGAAATCAGTCTGTAGTTTTTCAAGAGAGTGTTGTTGCCTTTCTTGAAGAACAAGACCACCGCACTTCTCCTTCATGGAGGACGTAATTAAAGAGCTTCTGAAGGACTTCAAGTGTGATCGGAGAGTTTTTGTGTACTTCTGCGGCGGGTCTTGTAAAACTTAGCTACGTGTTCGATCCCGAGAAAGTTAGCTACGATTTGTATGGAATAAAATCAGCGCCAACTAGTGGCAATAATCGGAATCACTATTATTAGAATCTTGGAAAAGGCGATATCTATCCTTAAATTACCTGTCATTGGGGGTGTAACAACGGACTAAAATATGCCCAAGCTCTTGCTTCAACACTGGCTTTAAAATAGCAGTCATCTATTATTATCAGTTATTAATGCCTTTGCGGCTACAAACATCCCCCTAACGGAAAAGAAAAAACGTCCTGCTTAAATTATATATCGTTCTCACAAAACGAAATAAAATAAACTCTTCAACATTATTTTTTCAAATTATTTTCACTTTTCTATCTCACTCTAAAAATTTGTAAACTTTTTCGATACCGACGGCGAAAAGCTTACATAAGTTAAGTCGTTCATATCGTCCACTTTATCGCAATCTTCTAAAATTCTTCGGGACTTTGGATTAGAGCACGAGGGGGACGGAGCGTTGACTTCATTAGACGAAACCTCTCCAAATTAACGTTTAGGTTCAGTGTGCTTCTATCCATTCGGTGATCGTTACCAGTTTTTAACCTCGCGATCACTGAGACAACACTGAACAGTTGTCGACTGGTCGTCCTAATGAAGTCAACCTCATTTTTTGTCGAATCGTCGGAGCTCGACCAGGTCCACTTCCTGTGGGGCCGCTTCTGGTAGAAAGAGTTCATCATACAGTCTTTCTCCATGAAGTCGGCCAGCTGCTGGCCCCTTGAGTTCCGTTGCAGTATTCCAAATTTCTCTACCCTCAGCTCTCCGTCCTCTCTTGTGTCTAGTTTTGCGTTTAAGTCTCCCATTAACACAGCATAGTGGGTTTTGGAGGAATGCATGTCTCTAGATATATCCTCATACATTTTCTCCACCTCCTCATCGGGGTGTGCCGAGTTTGGTGCGTAAACCTGTATGACCTTCAACGAATACCATTTTGGAAATTCTGAGTTTAAGATACGCAACTCTCTTCGATACACTCTCAATCTTTACAACGTTGTTAACGAGAGACTTGTGGATGATAAATCCGACACCTCCTTGGAACAGATGGTCGCCCTCCCGTTAATAGAACAAGTTGCCGTATTCGAGGATTACCATATCCTTCCCTTTTCTTCGGACCTCAGATAATCCTATAATATTCCAGCGCAACTAGTCTATCTCTTCTTCCAGCTTCAGTATCTTATCGTCAGTACTCAAGGTGCATGCGTTATATGTTGCCAGGTCAAGTCGTATTAGGTGGCAACCGAACCTCCACCGGAGGTTCTTAGCACTCCCTGCCACGCCGTTACCACGGTCGCCACCGTGGCCAAGAATAGCGGGGCCACCGGGGACTGGGAGCCGTTTCTTCGTTACTTTATTCATTGGGAGGTATATTGCCATAGTTGCCACGCTTGGCAGGCGGGTTGGCAACCGCAGTTTTTTTTATTGTTGTTTTAGAAGATGCTGCTGCCCATCTTCTGCCTTTGTTTCCCTCTGTTGCCTCTTACGACACCCACGGGAAGATATGGGGTAGTGGGTATTCTTTTCCACCACTATACGGGGCAACATCAAGAATATATATTGTCATTAACAGTTATTTTAAATTTAATCGTCTTATTCATTTGTATCATTTTTGTCGGCACCATCATCATTGGTTTCTATTGTCATGCTTACAATTGTGTGACAAAGTTTGACTTTTGCTACTTCACCAGTAGTTCTTTCAATCCCTTGGAACCAATCCTTAAAATGAGTGTCTCAAGGCCAAGAATCCCGAAACTTTCCTCATAGTTACGTATGAACTCTTGAAAGAATACGACATTTGAGTTTAGTAAGCTACTACTAAAAAATTCTACGAGGAATCCTAGCGAATAGCGTAGCGCCACCGGGATTGATTAACGGGCGTCAGGTCATGACTAATGAACCAGTGCTGCCTGCACAGTAAAACTAAATTGTTCTTAATTTGTGTAGAAATATATTTCGAAACATGTAAGTGGCTTGATGTTTGATTGATCATCTTTCCACTTACTGAAACTAAATTCTACTGAACTACGAGAAAAAACACCAACCACTAAAAGCAAAATTCCTCCACTAAAAGGGACGTAAAAACCACCAGTTTTTGCGGAAAATCCACCAAGTTGGCAACACTTCTGCTGGCTGGTTACCGGCTGGCTCGACCTGCAGGTCGCCATATTGGTGGCAGACTAGGAAATTTCTGTATCTTCAATACTATTCGTCGTCATTGGCGAAAGGGAGTAGGTTTTACTCCCTTTTTGTGTTTGAAGAATAAGATTTGTGTATTTACCGCGAGGTAAATTGAATACGTTGAAAAAGTTGTGTATTTTCTTTTTGTTTTTGTATTATAAACATGGCTTTCTAAAATGTCGGTTCTGAATATAAAATATTTGTCTCCTTGCGGAGTATCCCGCTCAATTGTTTTTGTGGATGTTGGAGGAATCCAGGATGGACAAAAAATCGATAAACAGATTATCTCAACAACAGTCGAGAGCTTCGGCTATCGACTGTAAAAAAAGTACTGGTTAGTATTTGAAGGTCATATATTTATTTTCTGTTGTGTTTTATTCATTATTCGTTTTGATTTATTTATTAGATAAATTAAAATATTATGTTTATACCGATTACTACGTTTACATATAAAATCATTATATAGAATTGACACACAAACCTTGGCTACGGAATAATAAGAAACGTGAGGGATCTGGTGCCGCTCCCAAAAATGAACCTTTTCGACGAAATCCCCCATCACAAAGAGGTAGGGGTCAGATTGATAAACGATCCCGCGCTCGTGGAACTAATTTTATTGTGGGTGGAACGCAGATCACCGGGTAAAGTCAACAATAAAATTTAATTATAAATTACTGCTCATAGTATTAGTAATAAAATAAATTGCTACCTACATGTTCATTATAGTAAAAGTAATGAAATTTTGCTTGTTTTAAATTTTTACAGGATAGAACAAGATGAAGAGCCTGAAATAGGCTCAGTGTATCAGCCTGGAAGTAAAAAGCAAAACTTGAATCATTTGCTTAACTTCATGTATCCCACACGTGGAGGTTCTGACCGGAGGGCCCCTGTCCCGCGCCGTCCTGTTCAAAATATGGCTCATAAACACAAGCATGATCTCTATCTTCGTGCTAAGTAAGTGCATTTGTTCTTTTATCAAACTTTTAGGTAAGGTCTTAATTGGTCAAAATTGGGACCTAATCTCCACTCCATCACATAATGGGACATGTAATGATAAAATGTATAATAAGTGTAATACATAATATTTTTTATTTAACATATTAAATATGTTAAATAAAAAATAGAAATATAAAATTTTTATCTTACACCCATCTTAATAATATCAGCACAAACAGTAAATAAATATGTTACTGTTAAAATGATATTTCTTGCCATTCCAAAAATATATTGTCGGTGAGTGTGCAAGACCGTGTAAAATCAGTTTGTAAATACCACATACTTATCCATGTTTGCATGATTTTACAGGAAGAAGAAAAATCTCAACCATTCTAATATATTTTACCAACTGTGTGCCTAGTGCGAGATGTTGTTTTTACACACTCGATACTGAGTAAGTTAACTACAATTTGTATGGAATAAAATCAGCTCCAACTAGTGGCAATAATCGGAATCACCATCGAGCATTGACTCTTATTCGTCAGTGAGAACGTTAACGCATGTGATTGGTTGGAGCGGCAATTTCGATCATTCGAGACGTAAGACTTTACATGGTCGATATCGAAATAGTATTCACCTAAATTTTTACAGTGAGATAGAAGAGTGAGAATAATTGTTGAAGGTTTAATTTTATTTCGTTTTGTGAGAACGATACATAATTTAGGCAGGATGTTTTTTTTTTCGTTTGGAGGATGTTTGCAGCCACAAAGGCATTAATAACTAATAATAATAGATGACTACTATTATAAAGCCAGGGTTGAAGCAAGAGCTTGTGCATATTTTAGTCCCTTGTTACACCCCAATGACAGGTAATTTAAGGATAGATATCGCCTTTTCTAAGAAAGTATTCAAGTTTTTGTGTAAATAGCGTTTGATAAATCCAAGTTCCTACCATCACGATTTAATAATTAAGTCAGTAGTAAGTATCATAAGTTTACTTAACACCAAGTAACTAAATTCCATTTACTGCTCCTTAAATGTCACCATAAAATCATATTAGATTTTTTTTTTTATAGGATAAGGGTGCCAAACGAGCACACAGTCCACCTGATGGTAAGTGGTTGCTGTGGCCCATAGACATCTACATCTATCCTTGTTTGCGAATCAAAATGCAGATGCATTGTCACCCGTGAGGACTAAGATGGAATGCCTCGTTTCCAGTAAAAAGGGTCTCGAATGAAAACAACTTCATGTTTTTTGCTTTCAATTTAATACTTTCAATAATTAACATCAAAGTAAAATGGCTAATTCTCAATCTCATAATACTAACACAAACTGTCCAAACCTTGATCAAATTACGAAACATAAACAAATAGCTTTTTTTTTTTTGAGATTTATCATGTAATCAGTCGATGGACTATGAGCAGATTGGTTGTAGGACAGATTGGCGTGCAGAGAAAACTTCCCCAGCGGGAAGCACTCCATAAGTCTCAGCTATACATTGTCAAGTATATGCCTTCTCTTTAGGCGACGAATCGCTTGTGGCATTGTCAACTGCCATGCTAATTGATTTGGATGGTTGCCAAGTCTTGTTTTGTAGTTGCAGCTGTAGCGCCTAATTTCTTCCTTAACTGAGTTCATTTTAAGGTGTTCATGGATTTCAGATGTTCTTATGAACCATGGTGCATTTGAAAGTTGTTTAAGTATGTAGTTTTGGGTTCTTTGAATGATTTCGATGTTGGAGTCACATGCTGATCCCCAAAGTTGTATGCCATATGTCCATATCGGTTTTATAATGATGTTATATAGCAGGAGCTTATTGTCTAAGGAAAGTCTGGAATTCCTTGCGAGCAATACAGTCCTCTGTATCTATGGTAGATCTCATCCTTTTTGGTATGGATGTGCTTCTTCCAAGTGAGCCTTATCCAAGTACATGCCCAAGTACCTAAAGTTGTCACTTTGCGGAAGCGAATTGTTACGCAATGAGACAGGCGGACAGTTTCCTTGACGCAAGGTAAACGTAACATGGACTGATTTTGTGGCACTAGCCTTTATTTTCCACTTTGATAGCCATTTGTCAATCTCATCTAGACTATGTTGTAGGATTGCTGAAGCATCGTCAGGACTTCTACTGCAAGCAAGAACAGCAGTATCATCCGCAAAGGTAGCCACAGTGACGTTGTCAATTTGTGGTAGGTCATTTGTGTAAATTGTGTAGAGCACAGGACCAAGCACTGAGCCTTGTGGCACACCAGCCTTAATTGGATGGAACGTGGAAGTATGTTCACCTTCCTTGACTTGAAAGATTCTATCGGTCAGGTAAGACTTCAGTAATCCAAAGAATGTATGAGGTAAAAGAGATTTAATTTTAAATAGTAGCCCTGTATGCCAAACCTTATCAAAAGCCTGCTGCACATCCAGGAATACAGAGGAGCAGTATTCTTTATGTTCTAGTGCATCTCTGATTGTTCTGCTAACCCTATGTACCTGTTCAACCGTACCATGATCCTGTCGGAATCCAAATTGGTGGTCTGGAATGATACTTCTTTTACGGAGTTCTTTCATAAGCCTTTGCAACAATACTTTTTCACAAACTTTTGATGTTACTGATAACAAACTGATTGGTCGGTATGAGGTTATTTCATGAACAGGTTTACCAGGCTTCCCTATCATTATAATTTGTGACACTTTCCACAGTGCTAGAAAGTTGATTGATGAAGTTGTAGAATGATTCCATTAAACAAAATGGTGTGGAACACAATACCTTTTTTGGATAATTCCGAAAGTACTTTTTTGTCAATTAGGTCAAAGCCAGGCGCCTTCTTGGCATCCATACGATTTATTATATTAATAATCTCTCTGGCGTTAGTTGCTGCAATGGGTAGATCCAATTGAAAAGTTTGGCCAAGGACATCTTCAATATCTGTTTCATCACTGTTAGGATCAGTTTCGGTTGGCGTGAATATTTGGGCCAAGTGATCTCCAAAAACATCGGCTTTTTGTTGTTGGCTTCTAGCCCATAAGTTGCCCTCCAGTCTTAGTGGGGGCTTGGGGTTAGTGGGCTGATTGAGATGTTTACAAGCGCGATAAAGGGAATAATTAGTAGCACTTGTGGCTGTCAATGATTTTCTTTTTATAGGAGAGGGGGCAAACGAGCATGCGGCTCACCTGATGGTAAGTGACTACCGCCGCCCATGAACAACTGCAACACCAGGGGAAACGCAGATGCGTTGCCGGCCTTTTAAAAAGGAGTACGCTCTTTTCTTGAAGGAAGGATTCCGTTGAAGTATTATTTGCTTTGATCATGATGTCTTTAAGGTCTTTAATTGCCTTATTAAGCGCTGTTTTGTCTTCTGGATGTCTACTATTGTGCCATACCCTACGTAGCCTTCTTTTTTCAATAATTTGGATTTTGATATCGGATGGAACTGCATTGCGTCTCGGTGAAGAGTTGGAGATTTCAGGAGTACATTTCCAACAAGCTGACTGCACTATAGTCATAAACTTAGTAGTAGTATTGTCAATGTCTTCCTCGGATTTTAGTGCCATTTGTAGTTGAAGCTCATCATTGACTATACTACGAAATGCTTCCCAGTCTGTTTTCTTATTGCAGAGTTGTAGTTGTTTCATATTAGTTATTATATTGGCGCCCATGGTAAGAAACACTGGGATATGATTAGAAGAACCATCTAATGTTGAACTGATTGTGAATAAGAGTCGCGACATGCCTTTAGAAACAAAGAAGTCTAGGACATCAGGCAGTCTATTTGGGTCTGTAGGCCAATGTGTAGGTTCTGGTGTTGCAATAGTTGTGGTATAGTTCTTATCCAAACTCTTCTTCAGCTCTCTTCCCCGAGTGGTTATCAGTCTGGAGCCCCAATGAAGATGCTTGGCATTCCAGTCACCACCAACAACAAAGCGAGAACCAAGGCTAACAAAGAACTCTGAAAATAGCTCCTCAGATATCCTGTGCTTGGGTGGACAGTAAACAGCCGAGATGGTGAAATCGCCATTTCTGTCCGAGACAGATACTGAAGTGGCTTGGTTTTGTTCAGTGCTGTATTGACGTAGTTCATGGTGCTTTATTGACGATTTTATTATTACAGCGGTTCCGCCATGTGCAGTTCCATCTGGATGATTTGTGTGGTATATATTATATCCTTTTTTCTTTACTGCTGCTAACAAAGTGGGTTTCTGATATGAGAAAAATATCAATTTTATGCAACTGAAGTAGTATCTCTACTTCGTCTTTGTTGGGAGATAAGCCGTTAATGTTCCAAGTAGCTATTTTAAGAGCTATTTTGAAGGCTTGGAGATTAGCGTTGTAATTAGTTGGAGTACTGTACTCATTTGTTGAAGGAGAAAATCAATTTTTTCAGATTGTTTGATAAACATGTATTCTAATGTTTTAAATGAAGTTAACTGCATATCTGGCTCTTGTGGATTGGGCTTTGAATAGGTAGTTTCAGTGTATGTTTTCTTTTCCTTTGTAATTTTGTTAGATGGTGGTCTGTCCTGAACTGAATTCATGTTAATTGGATGAGTTTTTATATTGTCACTGTTTTTGTGTGCATGGTTGTCTCTCTTTTCTCTTGGATACTGGTTTTTGGTTTTCCTGGTGAGGATTTCCTTGTACACCTTGTATTACACCTTTCCTTGTACAGGCATAGAGCACATGTGGCTGGTGTATTGCGATCGGTCTTTGTACATGCTGAGGTTTTGTGAGCTCGTGCACATTTAACACAACGAAATGGTTTCATGCAATAGTTTTTTGTGTGTCCATATTGTTGACACCTTTGACACTGTACTACTGTTTTTCGTTTTCTTGGATCTTTTATAATGACGGTTTGGTGATATATAGCCTTTATGTTTTTCACTGCCTTATTATTCGGGCCTGGTAGAAGATTTGCGAAGAAGGTGGTTGTAGGTTTCTTATCAGGACCAAACTTAGCATTTATTATTTCACCTGTCACAGTATTACCAGTTCCTCGATGGCTGCTTTAATAGCCTGAAAAGGAGTTGTGTGGTGTAGGTTTCTAATAACTATCCGGTAATTTCTGTTATCTTTCCGATTAAAGGTGTGTCCAATCAAACCGTTTTCACGAATTACAGATATTATCATTTTGTATATATCAACATCGTAGGTCAAAATTTTCAATTGATTTCTGTTGATAATTTTGTAAGTGAAATGAGATTTCTCTGTAACTGATTCCAGGAGTTCTGTCAGTTTGTTCAGATCTTCAACACCATATAGAATAATCGGTGGAGGTTTGCTGGGCTTCTTAGTCTTTGGCTCCGTTGCTTGTTCTTTAGTCAACTGTTAGTCCATCAAAGCTATTGCTTGTTTCAGTTTTGTCTGGTGAAGGTGTGCATGCCAGTTTTTTCCTTTTGGGATTTCTAATTAAGGGTACTCTTTGCCAGTCAGGTGGGTGCATAGTAATATCTTTATGTGGTTCCGTATCATCAAAGTGGGTCTGTTGGATTCCTTTGTCAGACGCCTCTTCACTACTAGAGCATGACGTGTTGCTCAGAGATTTGCTTCTTGACCTTGTCATAAATAAGCTAGGATGGAATGCTTGTTGTATTAGTCTTTTTGCAGTAACATTTACAGGCACCGGAGCCTGGTTACTCACTCCAGTGGTGTCTTCGGTAGCAGATTTCACACTCTCAGGCCCGGGTACCGGAGAGCGCCGGGGGTTAGCCGGATCGCATGACAAATCGCACTCTCTATTACTTGACATTTCATAAAAGGGGGGGGTCGGGAAAAATATCAGCAGAACTTTCCCAAGGTACTAATGCCACCCTTTTTGAGGATATTTAGTGCCTCAAGGCTTGTGGTAGCCTAGGACAGGTTATTTAACCGCCGCCTGTTGCTCGGCGTTGTCAACTCTTTTGGCACCACCCAGGGGACACGTGTAGGGTGGGTCTTGTAGGAACAAGATGGTAAAAATCCTACGGACGCGAGTGACTTCGTCCCCCTAAACAAATAGCTAATAATGAATTGTGATTCAGATTATTGCCGTATCTATATAATATATACTCGTAGTTACCGTTCTCGATATCGAATGCGTAAAAACAAAATCTCGCACTAGGCACACTGAACTTGTTTCCTACTGTTTTTCAAATTATATTATTGGATAATAACGTAAATTTACCAACAGTTTGTTTGTATTCCGTGTAAAGTGATTTACGTGGTTTTGTAGCAACATATGATAGAAAAATTAGTATACTTTAAGTAGGTATGTGGGTATCTCATGAAACATTTTTTTAAAGTATTAATCAAGAGTAGTAATTAAACAAAATTTATCATGACTAAATCACAAATAAAACATAAACATCGTCTTAGATAATAATAACTTGTACATTATTGATGCCCTGCTCTTACTTATTCTTTGTAGCTCTTTCTTATTATAATCACAGTTATTTTTTTTTATTAAATCTCTTAGATTACCTTCAAGAATACCAGCCTAAAATTATCATAAAAACTGTGACAGTCTTTTGGTTTGACATACTAAAGCTCCTGTAAATGATTGTACTTTGTTACTGATATTGATTGCCTTGATTTAAAAAATGAAGTATCAGTCATAAATGATACTTTCTTTTGTCTTCTAGACAAAGGAGTGAAGTAATCTGCAAAGTGAAATTTAAAGTCTATTATACCACTCGGATTATACCTTAGTGACCTTACATCAGCGACACAGTGCTCTTCTACCAGGTCTTATTGATTCATAGATCTGGTAATCTTAAACACCGAAGTCTTTAAAAAAGTATAATCAGATGTTCCAACTTCATAAGGGCATGGTACAGTTCTAGCCTCCTTTGTAATATTCAAAGTATTTCTGAGTTATTTTTTTTTTATAGGATAAGGGTGACAAACGATCACACATACCATACAGTCCACCTGATGGTAAGTGGTTACTGTGGCCCATCTACATCTATCCTCGATTACAAATTAAAATACAGATGTGTTTTCATCCATGAGTACTAAAATTGAATGCCTTGTTTCCAGTAAAAAGGGTTTCTGGTGTTTCCATTAAAAAGGGTCTGAGTGTAGATAACACTCATCATACGAATATTTTACGCTGGTATTCTGTGAGAGCGTGGTCCTACTGGTGGACCTATTTGTGCTACAAATACGAGGGCTGCACTAAAAGTATCGGGAATGGAATATTTCCACTGTACCTGTCATATTATTTTTTTTTAATTGAAATGTCCTTGGTTTTAAAAATCGAATACCATTTATTTATTTAAAAAAAGATTGTCGGTCTTGTCACAAGGTTTTGTCAAACTTGTTTAGTCGTTGAGAAAATGGAATTGACTCGAGAAAATTCAAGAGCGATAATTTATTATGACTTTCGAAGTGGTTTAACACAAAAACAGTGTGTTGACCGGATGATTTTTCCGGATGAAGCCCCATCCAAAACCACAATTTATCGCTGGTTTGCTGAATTTCAACGTGGACGTGTCAAGCTCAGTGATGATCCCCGTCAAGGTCGTCCAAAAACTGCAGTCACCCAAGAAAACGTTGATGCTGTGAGTAAGCTGATTGAGGAAGATCGACATGTGACATACCGCGAAATTCAGACAACTTTAGACATTGGCATGAGTCAAATACAAATAATCTTGCATACCGCATTCGCTCTGTGAAGAGCAAAAAGCGGCTCGCGTTACTTGGTGCGTCAGAACTCTCGAAAGATTCCACGCAGGATCCTCAAATGCTGTATACAACGTCGTATCAGGTGGCGAATCCTGGATATACGCGTACGAACTCGAAATAAAAAACCAGTCACGAGTTTAGGTGTTCGAAAATGAGTTAAAGCCAACAAAAATTGTTCGTTCACGGAGTGTTGCAAAAAAAATGGTGGCCACGTTTGTCTCCAAAACCGGCCATGTTACGACTATTCCTCTTGAGGGACAAAGAACGATGCAGAATGGTATTCTAGCATTTGTTTGCCACAGGTCGTTTCTGAACTCCGTAAAGGGAACTGCAACCGCCGCATCATCCTCCATCACGACAATGCTAGTTCTCACACCGCACACAGAACAAAAGAGTTTTTAGAGCAAGAAAACATAGAATTATTAGACCATCCGCCGTACAGCCCCGACCTAAGCCCTAATGATTTCTATACTTTCCCTAAAATAAAGAATAAATTGCGTGGACAGAGATTTTCATCACCTGAAGAAGCTGTGGACGCCTACAAAACGGCCATTTTGGAGACCCCAACTTCCGAATGGAATAGTTCCTTCAATGATTAGTTCCATCGTAAGGAAAAATGTGTCAAATTTCGCGGAGAGTACTTCGAAAAGCAATAAATACATTTTTAAATAGTAATGTTGTGTCACTTCCTTGATTCCCGAAATTTTCAGTGCCGCCCTCGTAATATAGCTGCGGCATGGCTCAATCAAAAATCATATTATATGTATTTAAATATATTAATGAAAATACATTTTAGTATGTTTTGTTTTTAGTTGCCAGTTCGTAGTCAAAGAAGATGGAAATTATGAAGTTAATTTAATGGATCCAGATATGCCCATCAAATGGGAGCAGATTGAAGAAGTTGTAAGTTATTCTGTTACTTAGGTTGGAAAACTGTTATTGGAAAAAGTTGAAAAAACATGAAAGATTCAAATTTCATATAGTTCATCATCATCATCATTACAGCCTTTCAGAAATCTACTGCTGAACATAGACCTCCCGTGCCACAAAGCACGGCCCCTTAGTCACCTGCATCATATTGTTCATTTATGTCTTATTTGTTTTCTTTAGTCTGATTCATAATTAATGTTCAAAATTTTAACAAAGAAATGTGAAATGTCATTTTCAAATTCTAATTGCAGGGAGAGGTGGATTAAATGTTAACAACGCTCTAGGCTAGCATCTCATCGGCGCCGCTCTGGTGGCCATATATTATAACTAATTATTTTGCAAATAAACTACATTATAATTTATAATATAGTTCAGTTGCAAAATAATGAGCCTAAAAAAAATTGGTATTCAAGTATATATATTATAAAACCTTATTTTACGTACATCACACTAGTTTTTGTTTCACGTCAATATGTGCAGTAATGTCGAAGTTATAACAACAAGAAGATCTGAGCGGTTTTTCAAATTTCCAGATTTCGCGCGCTCGTGGTGTGATGTCATCTCTCGCGTCTCTCACTACTTAGCCATTCACTTACGTACACAACGGTCGAACACGCTTGGTTTTCCGCAATTTTTTCCCTAATTTAAAGAGCTTGTAAAGCAATAACTAAGTTATGTGAGTCAGTATATGTAGGGAGCTAATTTTAACAATTTAACATGGAAGTTGGCTATGAAACTGGCCAATCTGACAATTTACCTAAAGTTAATTGTATTAGCTCAATATTTATTAAAAATAGTGACTATGGCAGCAATGTAAGCATAACTTATCTATGAAGTAGTAGAAGGTTCGTTAGGAATATTGCATGTTATCAGAACAAAGTAAGGGTCGCATTAGTCGAAAAGTTTATTTAGAATGAATTAATCTTAAACTAAATTAAGACGAGAAGTAGGAGATTTTTTTTAAATATTACTTTTTTACGTTTTTCTAAACTGACGGTGCAGGTTTTTATTTAACTGATTTTGACAAGCAAACTTGTGATGAGGCACTAAATGCAAAGGGATGCAACATCTCTATGCAGCGTCAGGAATCGAGCCAATTACATAGGCTGCACTAAAAGTATCGGGAATGGAATATTTCCACTGTTCCTGTGATATTAAAATCTTTTTAATTGAAAACTCCTTGGTTTTAAAAATCGAATACCATTTATTTATTTAAAAAAAGATTCTCGGTCTTGTCACAAGGTTTTGTCAAACTTGTTTAGTCATTGAGAAAATGGAATTGACTCGAGAAAATTCAAGAGCGACGATTTATTATGACTTTCTAAGTGGTTTAACACAAAAACAGTGTGTTGACCGGATGATTTCTGCATTTGGTGATGAAGCCCCATCCAAAACCACAATTTATCGCTGGTTTGCTGAATTTAAAACGTGGACGTGTCAAGCTGTGATGATCCCCGTCAAGGTCATCCAAAAACTGCAGTCACCCAAGAAAACGTTGATGCTGTGCGTAAGCTGATTGAGGAAGATCGTCATGTGACATACCGCGAAATTCAGGCAACTTTAGACATTGGCATGAGTCAAATACAAATAATCTTGCATACCGCATTCGCTCTGTGAAGAGCAAAAAGCGGCTCGCGTTACTTGGTGCGTCAGAACTCTCGAAAGATTCCACGCAGGATCCTCAAATGCTGTATACAGGTGACGAATCCTGGATATATGCGTACGAACCCGAAACAAAAAACCAGTCACGAGTTTGGGTGTTCGAAAATGAGTTAAAGCTAACAAAAATTGTTCGTTCACGGAGTGTTGCAAAAAAAATGGTTGGCCACCATTTTTTTTGCAACACTCCGTTTGTCTCCAAAACCGGCCATGTTAGGACTATTCCTCTTGACGGACAAAGAACGGTTAATGCAGAATGGTATGCTAGCATTTGTTTGCCACAGGTCGTTTCTGAACTCCGTAAAGAGAACTGCAACCGCCGCATCATCCTCCATCACGACAATGCGAGTTCTCACACCGCACACAGAACAAAAGAGTTAAGAGCAAGAAAACATAGAATTATTAGACCATCCGCCGTACAGCCCTGACCAAAGCCCTAATGATTTCTATACTTTCCCTAAAATAAAGAATGAATTGCGTGGACAGAGATTTTCATCACCTGAAGAAGCTGTGGACGCCTACAAAACGGCCATTTTGGAGACCCCAACTTCCGAATGGAATGGTTGCTTCAATAATTGGTTCCATCGTATGGAAAAATGTGTCAAATTTCGCGGAGAATACTTCGAAAAGCAATAAATACATTTTTAAATAGTAATGTTGTGTCACTTCCTTGATTCCCGAAATTTTCAGTGCCGCCCTCGTAAATAGAACTCGGTTGTCGATGAATCGAGCTGCTCTGCGCTTTATGCGGCCAAGTGGAAGGAGCTCGCACTGAGGAGCCTCTGCCCAGAGATTAGAACAGTATTACATGTGAGGTCGAACCTGCGCGCCTTGTAAAGTTGCAAACGGTGTGCGCCGGCATGAAGTACTGTCCCGCTCTACTGAGTACGCCAAGATTTTTAGAAACCAATTTAGCTTTCTCTTCCAAGTGACCAAGACACTGCAGGTCATTCGATATGTCGACGCCGAAAATTTCGATACTCGCTGCGGCAAGAAGGGAAGTGCCCTGAAATTGAGGAGATACGACAAAGGGGTGCTTTTTAGCGGTAAACGTGCATACTTGTGAATGATTTGTATAATGATTTATCGTGTAAAGACTTAAGTTCAGTGCTTTCTTAAAATATGTTACATTTGAAGTGTATGTAAAAGGAACTAATTTTAAAAACATGGAGGTGCTATCTTATTTTATTTCATGATTTACGATGTGCTTTAAACGCCGACCGACCAATCATACATAGGCTGCACTAAAAGTATAGAATGGAATATTTCCACTGTTCCTGTCATATTAGAATCTTTTTAATTGAAAATTCCTTGGTTTTAAAAATCGAATACCATTTATTTATTTAAAAAAAGATTGTCGGTCTTGTCACAAGGTTTTGTCAAACTTGTTTAGTCGTTGAGAAAATGGAATTGACTCGAGAAAATTCAAGAGCGATGACTTATTATGACTTTCGAAGTGGTTTAACACAAAAACAGTGTATTGACCGGATGATTTCTGCATTTGGTGATGAAGCCCCATCCAAAACCACAATTTATCGCTGGTTTGCTGAATTTCAACGTGGACGTGTCAAGCTGTGATGATCCCCGTCAAGGTCATCCAAAAACTGCAGTCACCCAAGAAAACGTTGATGTTGTGCGTAAGCTGATTGAGGAAGATCGTCATGTGACATACCGCGAAATTCAGGCAACTTTAGACATTGGCATGAGTCAAATACAAATAATCTTGCATACCGCATTCGCTCTGTGAAGAGCAAAAAGCGGCTCGCGTTACTTGGTGCGTCAGAACTCTCGAAAGATTCCACGCAGGATCCGCAAATGCTGTATACAGGTGACGAATCCTGGATATATGCGTACGAACCCGAAACAAAAAACCAGTCACGAGTTTGGGTGTTCGAAAATGAGTTAAAGCTAACAAAAATTGTTCGTTCACGGAGTGTTGCAAAAAAAATGGTGGCCACGTTTGTCTCCAAAACCGGCCATGTTAGGACTATTCCTCTTGAGGGACAAAGAACGGTTAATGCAGAATGGTATGCTAGCATTTGTTTGCCACAGGTCGTTTCTGAACTCCGTAAAGAGAACTGCAACCGCCGCATCATCCTCCATCACGACAATGCGAGTTCTCACACCGCACACAGAACAAAAGAGTTAAGAGCAAGAAAACATAGAATTATTAGACCATCCGCCGTACAGCCCCGACCAAAGCCCTAATGATTTCTATACTTTCCCTAAAATAAAGAATAAATTGCGTGGACAGAGATTTTCTTCACCTGAAGAAGCTGTGGACGCCTACAAAGCGGTCATTTTGGAGACCCCAACTTCCGAATGGAATGGTTGCTTCAATGATTGGTTACATCGTATGGAAAAATGTGTGAAATTTCGCGGAGAATACTTCGAAAAGCAATAAATACATTTTTAAATAGTAATGTTTCGTCACTTCCTTGATTCCCGAAATTTTCAGTGCCGCCCTCGTATGCTATTATTATAGCGTCAATAATGATGGACCGAGTAACGTCACTCAAGATGCCACCAATGTGACTGCTGTTTAAATTGATTCTTAGTTCATCATCATCATTACAGCCTCTCACAAGTCCACTGCTGAACATAGGCCTCCCCCAAGGAATGCCACAAAGCACGGTCCTGAGCCACCTGCATTAATCGACGTCCTGCATGTCTTACCAGGTCGTCACTCAATCTCGTGGGGGGTCCTTTCTTCCCCATCGGTTGTCGGTTCTTCGGGCTATATGGCCGACCCATTGCCACTTCAGCTTACTAATCCTTTGGGCTGTGTCGGTTACTCTGGCTCTACTGCGGATCTCCTCATTTCTAACTTTATCACGTAGAGAAACCCCGAGCATAGCCCTCTCCATAACTCGCTGAGCGACCTTGAGCTTCCTCATACGGCCAGCAGTGAAGGACCACGTCTCAGATAAGTCATCACTGGCAACACGCACTGGTTGTACAATTTCGTTTTAAGCTTTTGAGGTATGTCTGACGAGAAGATGTGTCGTATTATTGGAAATTAAATATTTTATTTCATGACACTAAAATAACGTTAAAAGTTTATATGATTTAATTGGTGTGAAGGGATTCTTAATAAATAGATTTATACAATAAAAAATCATGCATATTCCCTATTATTATATCGTAAAGCATTTCAAACTTAGTAACCTTCAACAACATTATCGGGTATTTTGATGTCGAAACTGTAAAATTCCTAATGCCATCAAAAACATAACTTGTAAAAAAAAAAAACAAGTCTCGCAACTCAGTTCTTCTACCGTAAAAAGTTGTGAGATCCATGTAATACCAAGTCGGTTAATTTATTCAGTCCCTACTTAAGAGTCCTTCTGTCTTAAGGGGCTACTCCATGCGAATGACCTTGAGCATATGTTGTGCCGCGCCGACTCGCTATGATTTATCGCGTAAGAAATATGTAAGACGCCACCTACTGTACGAACGTAGTATTTTTTCAACATCAATAAACTATTTTATTGTAATACTACACACAGCGTGCAACGATAAATGTATTTTAATTTTTTTATTCGGTATATTAGTTGCATTATATTAGAATTATGTATTCTCATATATTATCTCATTATGTAATTTTATAATTAATTATATATTAAAAATGAAGCATTGAAAATTGTGAGTTTAAAAGATACCTACTCACTATAGGTAAATAGATAGATAGCTCGCCTTTTGTACAAATATTTGGTGTAATAAAGAATAAATAAATAAATAGGATGTTTCGCAGAGTGAGAGTAATATAGAATGAGAGTCGTGGAGGCAGTTTACAAACATAAATTGCACAAGGACAAACATCCAGACCCGGAACAATTATATATAGGCCTTACAAATACTTGTACCGTGCGGGATTCGAACCCGCGGCCCCCAGCGCAACAGCTGATTGCTAAGCCATTGCGCCACGGAGCCGTCGCCGGGTTATAGTTAAAGCGACCATACGTCCCGTTTTGAACACGACTGTCCCTTTTCTCGGTCACCTGTCCCATTGTCCCCAAATAAAGCTCCAGGACACAAAATTGTCCCGTAACTCGTTGGATGGAAGTATTCAAAGCCAACAATCTTCAACATAATTTTTTTAATCGAATATATTTTATGTCTACCTGGTACAAATGCTCCAGTAGAAAGAGTATTTTTCTATTTTGAATGAATTGTGGACGTCTGAAAAAAACACGGTTCCAGTGCTAAAGGCGATGTTGTTAACAAAAGTAACAATAAAAAAAAACGCCCAGAATTTTATTCTTATTTAAAATCATCACCAACTTTATTAAAGCAAATTTAATCCACTGACAAATGTAATTAATAATTTAAAAAATATGTTGCATTTAATAATTACCGTCTATACCGAATATAATTTTATAGTGAACACTAATTGTATAAAGTTATAGTTTTTAGAGTATAAATAAACCCATGTCCCGTTTTGAGTTAAAAAATAAATGGTCACTTTAGTTAGAGAATCTAGTAATAACCCGCAATGACGCAGATAGGCGAACTTAGACGCCCAGGCCGAATTAGTCGCCTATAGGCCGACTTACCCGACCGGGCCTTATTAGACGACAAAAGAGCAAATTAAACGCCCAATTCAAACCAAACCTTACATGCTAATGGTGCTTAATTTTTATATTTGCATTTACTTCAAAGAAAATACAAAAAGCTTCATCACGCAGTAAAAAACAACAAATATATGTATAACTAATACGAAAAATTATACCCAAAACAAACAAATAATACTATCTATAAATAACCTAATAAGTAATAATATTATCGACTGATAAGATGACGTGAGCGTGTGCGCTGGCCGACGCTCTGACTAACGACACGGGTTTCACATTCAAGAGCTCAGCGCTCACTGACTCCAGCAAGCCCGTGGGCAGTGAATACGCCCAGATTTTAAAATAATTTCTTAATAAAGTCAAATTTTGGTCTTTTGAAAAAAAAATTATAATAGAAATGTTCATTAATAAATTGCCTATCCATTGGTGTAAATCGCAAAATAAAATAATACTTTACGAGGAGATGCATGCTATCAATAATTATTTCACATTTATGTGGTTTCGTTGTAAGGAGATTATATTAATATTTATTGCTTTTAAAAAAATTGGATATAGCTCTTATGGAATCAAGATTATGTAGAAATATAATGTGTTTTTTATAAGTTGATATATCTTTTAAATAAAAAGTAGATAGCTCCTAAAAACCGCACAAATAACGACTAGCGCGACATTTTGCTCAACCTGCGCCTTAAGTTATTACGTAATTAGTTAACCTAACAACATCTTATAGTGACCATATCAATACGAAAAATCTTTTATATTTTAAATAATTAGATTGACTTGGCCATCGCATGAAAACACAATGTATCTCTCAAGTAATACATATATTAAATTAGATTGTTTAGTGCGATTGCCAAGTCAATTTATTTACTTAAAACATAAAAGATTTTTAGTATTGATATGGTCACTATAAGATGTTGTTAAATGAAGAATGTTGAATAAATATGTAGTTACAATAAACATTTTAATACATTTAAATAGGACCAATCGGTTATTCTGCTGTACAAAACACCTAAATCATATTGCCATATCAGAATTCAAAAGCTCTAAATAATCCGCTAGGTGCAGAAATTTTCAGATGTGTGTTAGACTGACAAACAAACAACAACAGACTGACTAAAAAGCACCAGATCTAGCGCCGAAAACGCTGAAATGGCAGCATTCAATAGCTACACAAAAAATGTTTTGATCCCGATTGTGTTAACAGTCGTCAATGGCCAAAAAATCATTGTGTTAAACTAAACTAAATAAAAATATATAATGCAAAATGTGAATTGTTCTAAACTTTATCAGAATACAGATTGAAAAGAGTACTAAACCTTTATTTTCGTCAAGAATTGTAAACTACCATTTAAAATGTTTTTTTCTTAGTTATCTCCCTTGTTTACATTTTGGATATCTAATTATGAATCAGATTATAAGTATTTTTTATGATAGGTTTTATACATATTAGTTGTATTTTCGGATTTAACATTCTTTTGTTACGACTACCTTAACAGGTTGTAAGAAGCACAGGTCGTTCAGAATGTCCCATATGTCTTGGTACTCCAGTGGCTGGGCGTGTTGACCATTGTGGCCATGTGTACTGCTGGGCCTGTGTTCTACATTATGCTGATGCTCATGAAAAGCAACCACCACCTTGCCCAGTATGTGCCGCACTTTTACAAGTCAATGAAATGAAGCCAGCCTATATGATTCAGTGGGAATCACCTGCTGAAGAGGTAATTTTCAATACATATAATACTTTGTTAATTTAATGAATAGAGCTACCGCTGCTATGCCTCTGTCACTTGCTACCTGCGCGACGTAAATACCTACATTCGGGCGGAACCTGAGCTTACATATGCATTCAGGTCTAGCGCGTTTTAGGCGAGTGATGTTTAAAGCTGATTTCAAAGTTTTTTAACACTGTTCACGTTAGTACATTTTTTGTAAATACTTGTTTAAATATTTTTTGTTTATTGTTTGGTTTGTTTAGTTATAGGATAAATTAGTTTAATAAGTTTTTGTGTAATTTATGTGTATTAAACAAAATTCATTCATTAAAAATTTTGAAAACATAATAATAAAAGAAAACAGCAAATCTATACAAATAAATAAAATTGAAGTGTCTGTTTGTAATGTCAAACTTATAGTTTTTTACTAAATGCATATGAAAGTAAATACGGCACCTATAACTAAAATACAATTTTTAAAATGTTTGTTTGTCTGTCTGTCTGTCTGTATGTTCCGGGTAATCTCCGAAACGGCTGGACCGATTTTGACAGGACTTTCACTGGCATATAGCTGATTTTACAGGGAGTAACTTAGGCTACTTTAATTTTAGAAAAAGAATTAGGGTGCCGCGCAAAAACATATAAACCCTAACACGCGAGCGAAGTCGCAGGGAACAGCTAGTAATTTACTAAAATTATTAACGAATATTAATTTTATCACTATCCATGTTTTCCCCACCCATTATTTTTAAACATTAGATTTAGATCTTTTTCCACTCTTAAATTTAATAACCGTGATTTAGAGACAGTAAAAAAATATAAGACATAATAAAGTAACAGTTGCAAATGTAACAAATAATGAAAAGGTACTAAACATACTATATTTTTACTCTTTGTTGAAATCCCTAGGTAACCACGGAATATCGTCCGTGATGTAGGAAGGGGAAAAGATGCAAAGCCATATACACTCGCGCGCAGTGATAAAGTTTAATTTAGCTTGTGTGTTTAATACGTGGTCTATTATGGGCCATTGGCTATTTTCATTTTTTTTTCTGTTTATTTTCACCTGAAATAAAATCTTTTATTTTTCATGAATTAAAATTTTATTTGCTAAATATCATTTTTTAAATATTTAACTAGGTTGGTAATAATAAAAGATAATTGATAAGCTGGGTCTGCATTTTATATAACTAGTATGTGAACAGTGACACAGCCAGAGCAAAATAATCAGAAATGTGAACACAATCTATCAACTGATTATGATTCATGACAAAACACATGCTTACGGAGATGACTTAAATCCAGACATGCTGATTAGTGGGTGGATGGATAAGGCATATATAGTAAAAAAGTAATGGAAAGTTACCACATATATATGTCCTGCTTCTGGGCTCCAGGCTCCTCTTATTCCTGAGATGTCATATTTATAATTTGCATTTTATTAATTTTATATTCATAATATAAATACTATTCACAGTATAATTATTTGATCATTACAGGTTACAATGCGTCTTGTCCGTCGACTTAGAGGTACAACAACAGTGGAAGTTGCCCCACCTCGTGGACAAATAAAAAATACCTTGGCAACACCAATATTGCCACTTGAATATTTAAATAATGCACCATTTACAAAATATTTTACTGCTACTAAGGAACAAGTATGTGATTTAGTTATTGATATTTATTAATAATTTTAATTTGTAAATATTAAAGTTGTTTAATGAAAAATTATTAAACATTTTTAGGTTTCCAAAATATTAGAAAAAGAGCGAGAAGAGATTAACAATCAGATTTTGGCCGAAATTGACACAACTGAAATCATTTATTTGGAAAGAGCTTTAGAATTATTGAAATTGAAAGAGGAAGCTATTAAAAACCAAGTTGAGAAACCTAAACCGCCAGAAGTGTTGGAAAATATGGCCCCTATTGTGTTTGAAAAACAAGAAATTAGTGATAAGAAATTGGATTGGTTTGATGTCTCAGAAGAAGGTGCAGCATGTATTGAAGTGATGACAGAACATATGGCTTCATTAGAAGTTACTGACTCTGATTTGAATTCAGAAACAGTTGATTTTTTACAAGATGAATTGAACGATAACAATCAAACAGAAGAGTTCCCACTCATAGAATGTGCTCCTCCAGGGGATGAACCAGTAAATAATGATAACTTATTTTCTGATATTGACAAAGAAAATCAAGCAAAATACTTTTATTTTTATCAAGGTAAAAATATTTAAAAGAGGCACAGAAACTTGATTGTAATAATATTAAATTGTTATATGTAATTCACAAAATATTATTTATTTACAGCTGAAGATGGACAACAGGTATTCCTTAACAGTCTTAATGTACGTATATTAAATGCATCCTGGGGTGGCCTTGTCACAGCACCTCCTGTTATACGCGGTCGGGTTCTGAATCGCGAAACATTGTCACTTGCTGATCAGGTAATTCTGTTTAAATAAAACTAGTTTTTACGGATTTTATCGCGTATATTAACTTATTTTATATTCCCGTCGTTTCGAGCACTTTACAGCACCCATGGTCTGAGGTGTTTGACGTCCCAATGTCATAGTTAACCACGGCTACCTCTAGATTAAAATTATTAATTTTTGTTCCGATCTACACAGTATGAACTTACAGCATCTTGACGTCTTGCAGTTGTATACTTGGGTTTGGTATTTTTTTAGCTTGCCATCATTTAAATACAAGAAAAACTTATAAAATATGTAGAGCGACAATAATCTATCTTTTATCTACCGTTTTTCTAATTACGTTTTCTCTTTATGGCCCTCTTAAGTCGTGGTAGCTTAGGTACTACTAAACTCTCATCGTAAATGTCATAGTGTGCAAGCAACACGTGCTTTAGTGCTGATTAACCATATGCTCGACGAAGACTGAAAACATTGTAAGGAATCTTGCATGTCAGAGAAATGTTTCGAAGACATGTGAAGTCCGCCAATATGCCTTGGGGCAACTCTATGTACATTTTCTTACCGTAAAAACCCTCCCAGAAATAAAACGAGGCCTGTGCCTTGGAATAGGACTTCAATAGGTTGTAACATATCGGAAAAGTTGTAATACTGTCGCTCTATAAGTTGCACACTCCAAGATCCTAAACTACATTCATAAAAGTGCGCTCATTATTTTTATTACTTAGTTTCACCTTTAAACATGTGTATTTAATGAGTGTGGTGTTTTGTCATTATTAACTAAAATATGTCGTTTATCATATTTTTAGGCAAGAAAACATATGCCATACACTGCTCACCTGCCAGTTTACTGTTCCTTTGATATAGTAGAGCTCGATTTACAACCACCTTTTGTTACAACTGCAGCATTAGAAAGTTTTTCAGGTAAGCTGAAATGATTCTTTTATAAATTGAATCTTGAGGGTATAGTCCGAAAATAAATTAGTTTATGTGTTTGAAGTTCTTGGCGTAATTAATCCTACCCCATTATATAGGCCTATGTTCAGCTGTAGATTTATGAAGAGCTGTAATGATGATATGAGGAAAGGCTGAATAGACATAAACTAACGACTCTGAAAGATCGCACAGAATCGAAAAATGAAATTATACATGGACACTACGATCTATGAATGTATGAATATGGTCTATGAATGACAAGCTCGTGGAAAATGTCCATGCGGTCGGAGCTAAGTTCTGCAAGACCCGCCGCAGAAGAACACAAAAACTCTCCGATCACACTCTCAATCTCATGGCTGTTAGACGGGAGATGAAGCTATATTCTTCAACAGATTTGACAGCATACAGGCAACTGAACAGACATCTCCAAATGCATGCAGCAGGACTTACGCAACTTCAATGCAGCTTGTATTGAAGAAACGATTGAGCGGAACTAAGGCTCCAAAGTCTTTGCCAGAGATCTGTCTGCCAGAAAGAGCCAACTGTCAAAGCTGAAGACCGAGTGTGGCAGCATCGTTTCCGGGGCAACTGAGATTTTGAGTGAGATTGAGAGGTTCTATGGGCAGCTGTACACGTCATCGTTGGAGCCAGACGCAAGTGTGAGTAACGATCCAAGAGCAAGTCTTATCCGACACTATTCCGAAGATATCCCGGACGTCAGTCTGAGCGAGATTAGAATGGCTCTCCAGCAAGCACCTTAAAAACGGTAAGGCCCAAGGCGAGGATGGAATTACAGCGGAGCGTCTGAAAGCGGGTGGAAGACCGGTAGTTGAAGTCCTTCAGAAGCTCTTTAATTCCGTCCTCCATGGTGGCATTACACCGGAGGCGTGGAGCAGAAGTGCGGTGGTCTTGTTCTTCAAGAAAGGTGACAACGCTCTCTTGAAGAACTACAGACCGATTTCCCTTCTGAGCCGCGTCTACGTGCTGTTTTGGAAAGTTATTACGAATCGTCTCGCGCGCAGACTTGACTACTTCCAGCCTCCCGAACAAGCCGGTTTCCGAAAGGGCTTTAGCACCATAGACCACATACATACCCTTCGACAAATTGTACAGAAGTTCGAGGAGTACAATTTGCCACAATGTCTGGTGTATGTGGACTATGAGAAAGCCTTTAATTCCGTCGTCGATAAACTTAGAAATGAGTATATCCGAAGTAGAGCCAGAGTAACCGACATAGCCCAACGGATTAGTAAGCTGAAGTGGCAGTGGGCCAGACATATAGCTCGAAGAACCGACAACCGATGGGGAAGAAAGATTCTTGAGTGGCAGCCTCGTACCGGTAGACGAAGTGTAGGGCGACCCCCCACGAGATGGAGTGACGACCTGGTAAGACATGCAGGAAGTCGATGGATGCAGGTGGCTCAGGACCGTGCTTTGTGGCATCCCTTGGGGGAGGCCTATGTTCAGCAGTGGACTTATGAAAGGCTGTAATGATGATGATGATGATGATGACTACGATCTACAACATTTTGACAAAGATTTATTCCAGTACTCAAAAAACACATGTATTAGGGGGCATCACCTCCAATTAATTAAAGCTGTAATAAGACACACCCACATAAGCACTTTTAGCCAGAGTGGTTGAAACATGGAACAAGCTGCCATCATAAGTGATATCTGTACACACTATTAACCAATTCAAGAACAGATTGGATAAACAACTAAATTGGAACAATCACACATTTGAAACTAGGAAACGGGCTTATATTAGTTGTTTTAACTGCTGGCCTGTTAAATAAGTTGCTTACTTATTTAAATATAACACCAGTATCACGTCACAGACGTCTACGCAAGTCATGTGATGCATACACGTCATGACTACTGGTTACCCTGTAATACTTTTTTGTAAATAAATTGCACAATCCCGTCGGGTTCTTCGTTTTTAATGATAATTTACATATAAATCTCTTACAGATGAACTGAGACGCCGTGCACGTATTCGTGCCAATTTAGAACGCAAGGAAAGACGTCGCGAGCTACAGTATCGTCGAGCGATGGAGGGCCCGCCTCGTCCTGATTTTACATCAGAAGTGCTGTTCCCTCGCGCCTCAACTTCATTCGGCAGTCCTACTCCCATGGAGACTGTGTCGGTTTCTCCCACAGAAAGTAGCCAGTCACCTTCTAATTCTGTAGGAGTATCTGAGCAAACAAGTTCAAATCCAAGCCCATCTTCTTCTGGACTGTCATTTGCAAAGGTAATTTATTTGATTTGAATAACTTCTTAATTTTGTTGAAATTAAAAATTTGTTAAAAATTGAGGATTACATAATAATATTATAATATTTACGCCAAACATACTTAGTAATAATCTAAAATACATACATACATACATGCATATATACATAGCATACCTGAGTGTAGGAGAGTCCAAAGAGCGGTTCTCTGAACATTACCCTTGACAACATTTAGCTAAGAAATATAGGTTTGCATGAATAAGTATGTTTGGATGAAGAATTGCAAAAAAGTGATAGGTGGCGTGCCTGTGACAATTACAAACCCAATATCCTATAAGTCTCCTCATACAAAAAGCTAGACAAGTAACACAGTTGGTACATTCGTTTTTGTATTAAGTCCCACATAAACTTTGGACCTTTAAGTCCCAGAACAACTAGAACTAAAAACTAGAATACAAAATTTATGTAGATTAATATTGTTAAGAATTTGTATACAGTCTTGTGGTACCGACGTAAGAGACTCTACCCCATTTATTCCGTGGGTGTCTATGGGAAATGCCAGAAACATCATATGTCTTCCAATAGATGGTGGTATGATCGTTAGTTTATGCCAGATTTAAAAAAATGCTCAGATTGCCAATTTGATCATCAGTCTGCCTGCCGAGTGTAATGATCAAGGCAAATCCTTCTTACGCGAAGGTCCATGTCCAGCCATAGACCAACGATAGATAAAGAAGAAAAAAGATGGAGGAATATGTATTTCTTAACATGCAAGAAGTATTACTGTGGCTCATGCTGTAAACCATCTTAAAAAAAAACGTTACCTCCACACTAGGTTTTTCTATTGTGTCATGAGGGCAGTTTAAAATTTCATGAGGGCGAACATCCAGAACTTTTTTTATATGAGAGGGGGTAAACCTTCATACGGCTCACCTGATGGTGACTACCGACGCCCATGAACAACCGAAACACCAGGGGAATTGCAGATGCGTTGTCGACCTTTTGAAAAAGAGTAGGCTCTTTTCTCGAAGGTTCCTAAGTCCTATCGGTCCGGAAAAATTTCTGCAAGTATTCGATTCCACAAGGGAGTTGTGCGAGGAAAAAAACTTCTAAATTGCACAGTGGTGGACCGCCAATCATCCAGATGGTACGAATGGTATTTCGAGTTCTGTCGCGATGCGCGATGGTGAAATTGAGCGGATGACCTGGAACAATTATTCATAGGCCATACAAATACTTGATCCATGCTAGATGAACCCAACGGAGTTGTCATATATTATGTTGTTTACGTAAAGAACAATGGCAGACTTTCATACATAAAATTAGTTGAGAAGGAATGGTAGGGTCTATATATCAAAAATATTTTAAAATGTTAAGCGTCAGTCCCTTAATAATTCTGTCAAAGAATTTTGTCCTGAGAAGACGCCGAAAATAAGATATTTAGATTTGAACCTTTTTAGGTGATGTCTTATTTCACTTGGAAAAAGTCTGCGTCCTGTGGTTTTATGATGTTAGCTTAATACATTCTCAACATAATGTACCTACGTACAACATAACTGAGAGTTTTAAGATTATTGTATCTCTATTATATATTTGCGTAGTATAAATGTATATTTTTGGCATGGCTTCAGGGCCTTTGCGTCATACAGTGACATTCTCAGAAGGGCTAGAACCCAGAGCCATAAAGCCAGTAATAAAACAGTGACATTTTGTTTTAGTTAGTCTATGGAGTGTAGAGTAGAAGAAGAACCATCTCTGTATAGTGCCACCAACTTATCTGTTCAGTTGACAGCGTCGCTAGTGGAGTGCTTACTATTGCCATTTAAGAAATTCACCGAGGAAATAGGTTACAACATATTCATTACACATAACATAAAATAAAACAAATTTCGTGTTAATATATTAAAATTAGTGAGAATTAGTGTTATTATATATATTATTTTTATTTTATAAAAATAATTGTGGTCGTGATCTCGGAGTTCAAGCGGCCGAATTCCAGGAATTTCTGTTTTGAAAAATGGACCCGCGTTAGCTACGGTTCCAATTTTTTTACATGATTACAAATGTTATTTGTAAATTTATGAAATAAATCTTCAATTAATTGGGGCATTAGAACATTAGCAACACAAACTACAAAGCTAGGTACTTTAGATGAATTGCAGTAAATTGAGATAATTTTTTTACTATGTTTCAGAAGTACATTATTTGGTGATTTTAATTTTTCATATCTGGCAATACTAACCTGTCGCGGCAGCTACGCGTTCTTACAGCTTTTCAAATGGTATAGTTGGGATTCGTACACGTTTCTCTTCTTTCATAAATGACAAAAATTTTAGGATAATCTATCGCGCATCACTTTTAAGACCTTTAGGCCTTTTATTGACACTTTTTAAAAACACTCACCTGATAGCTCAGAATAAATAATAGCTGACAGCGAAATGTTATTTACAAAATGGCGGCTTTAGTTCCAATTTTGTCCACCTGAACAGATAAGTTGGTGGCACTATATATGAAAAGTGTCCCTAAAAACGCGTCCAATAAGGGTGGCGCTGTAGTAGCATAGGATAAATTTAAAAAAAGCGCCAAAATTTATTAGAATAAGATGGCGAAATAAACGGACCGACCAATCCGCTTGGTTTTGTACTACGTAAATAGTTGAGGTTTTGTATACTGGCATTTTACTCACTACTCTAGTCATGAAATTTTTTAAATATTTTAATTCAGCTGACTTCACTCCGTCTACAACAGCTATATTCATATCGCAGTTTTTCAGACGCCAGCGCTATTGTGGTAGGTTTTGGAACCTCTATTTTCAGTATATATTGGGACACTTTTTCAACTTTTGCACCTTATAAGATGGTTCTCCTTCTACTCTACACTCCATAAGCTAGTCTTGCCATAACATTAAATGGAATTGTTACATAGTACTATGAAATATATTATTGTAGGAAGTTCTTTGTGAGAGACTTATTTTCAACCATATCACTTTTATTTTTATTATTACTGATAGTATAGTTTTTACTAATAATAACAATATAAAAATATTTTGTGTTTGTGTGTTGTGTTGGTAGTCTTACAAAGTATATACGAAAATAGTATGAATATAGTAAATGGCAACACTTGAATAGAGTACAATGATTTAAGTCATTTGATATTATGTTTGTAAAATGTTTGTTTTTTCTGTGGCTTTAATTAAAATACATTTTTATTTGAAAAGTCATAGAAAAATTATAAAACTCATTTAATATATAACTTATTTCTAGGCACAATAATTTTTGTCAACTATTTTTCTGCCATTGCTCTGTAGATCTATGTTGCGACATAATGCTTTTCCAACATGTGATTTTGTCAAATAAGTGAATAATCATTACTTGTAGGCAAATACAGCTATTATAGCTACAAATATGAAGTACTTTTACTTTTTACATTTAACTTCTGTAGTGGATGTGGACAGGCTTTTTTTTTACTTGCAAGTGGGAGCAAGGACGGTGAATACTTTTTAATTCGAGGAGAAAAATAAAACTTCTTGATGCAGATATTATCGCCGTGTACTTTCAATTGACAAAAAAAAATTGGCGGTGGTTACAACTTAAAAACAACAAAGAAAAAAGAAATAAGTAAAACGTATGTAACGCAACTTCGTGCGTAACAAAAAACCACAGGCGTTTTCGTAGACATGCCCCCCGGCGTTGAAAGCTTGTCTTTCAACAAAATTAGCCTTCCTTGTTGTTAGGTAAAGGGCAGATTTTGCAGAAAGGTCTTCGGACGTTTCCGGTGGCAGTTCTGATATCGGCAACGCGGTTGATGCCGTCGGCTCCGGGATGAAAGGCTGTAATTCGACCCAGTCGCCATTTGAGCGGCGGTAAATTGTCTTCCTTCAGAACTACAAGATCACCCGTCCCTAAAGTGTCAGCATTGGAACGCCATTTTGATCTCTGCCGGAGTTCTGAGAGATATTCCTTGCTCCATCTTCTCCAAAAATGTTGACGAAGTTGTTGGATGCGTTGGTATCGACTCAGTCTACTGCTAGGGACTTCTTCATAATTTTGAGAAGGAAGAGAGGTGATGGGGCGGCCGATGAGGAAATGTCCCGGGGTTAATGGCAGTAAGTCATCAGGATCCGTGGAGAGAGGTGTCAGCGGACGAGAGTTCAGTACACCTTCAATTTGAACCAGCACAGTGTTTAATTCCTCGTATGTAAGGTTACAATTACCTAATATTCTCCGTAAATGATATTTTATTGACTTAACGCCTGCTTCCCAAAGACCGCCAAAGTGAGGGGCTTGCGGAGGAATGAAATGGAAATTTATATTTTCCTGAGCCAAATTCTCGGACAGTGAATTGCAATTGTCTTTTATAAAACGACCGATTTCGTTGTATGCGCCTACGAATGAAGTTCCGTTGTCGGAGTATATGTGTTTAGGTTTTCCGCGACGTGAAATGAATCGACGAAGTGCTGATAAGTAATTATTACTTGTTAGATCGCCTGTTAACTCCACGTGTACAGCCTTTGTCGCAAAACAAACGAAGATGAGAATATACACTTTCGTAAGCTTGCAACCACGGCCTTGACGACTGGCGGACATAATAGGTCCAGCATAATCGACGCCAACGCTCTCGAAGGGAAAACCGCCGGGAGTCACTCGACCCTGAGGCAGATTGCCCATAAGTGGATTTATAACCCTTCCCTTATAACGACAACATAAGTAACATTGTCGATAACAATATTTAGCTAACTTGAGGCCTCCGATGGGCCAATACATTTCTCTAATTGAAGCTAATAGTAAACGAGGACCGGCGTGTAAAAGCTTGACATGCATATACTTAAACAATATTTTGGTAAAACGATTAGTGGACTGTAACATAATCGGATGTTTCTTTTCATAAGTAAATAATGCATTTCCTAAACGACCACCGACACGCATTATTTTATTTTCGTCTAGGAAAGGATTAAATTTCAAAATAGTACATTTTGAAGGCAATTTTTTGTTATTATATAAGGTCACATATTCCTCGAATGACTCAATTTGTGACAATCTAATTAAAGTATTTAAAGAATTATGTAGTTCGTCGTTACTTAAAAATTTACTTTGTACCGGTTTCTTTTTACAAATATTAATAAATCTTAACACGTAGGCCATAGAACGTTGTAATCTTATAAAATTAGAGAATCTCTCAAAGTCAATTAAAGGTTTTTTCTGATTGGTAACAACTAAAGAAATCTCTGAGCGAGTTTCTGGTAGCTTATCACTTACAATAGGGTTAGCAGGCCAACTAGACATGTCACCCTTTAAAAAACTGTGGACCAGACCACCATAAGTCAAGATTATGAATTTGATTTATGTTCGTACCGCGGGAAACATAGTCTGCCGGATTGAGATCAGTGGGAACATGTCGCCAAGTAAATGAACCTGTTTTTTCCAAAATTTCGGCAACTCGATTACGAACAAAAGGTTGTAATTTGTCAGGTAGCATTTTTAACCAACCTAAAACGATTGTCGAATCTGACCAAAAAATTACTGATCTTACTTGGATTCGAAGCGAATTTATCACCTTCTCATAGAGACGGACACCGACAAGTGCAGCGCAGAGCTCAAGCCGTGGTATTGTAGTCGGCCTTATGGGAGCTACGCGACTTTTGGCTGAAAGTAAAAGCACCATCACATTATTTTTATTATTAGAACTACGGACATACAGACATGCTCCGTAAGCCACTTGAGATGCGTCACTAAAAATATGTAAGTCTACATTAATATATTGATTGCAGATAACACTGCGTGGAATTCTTAAATTGTTTAAAAATGATAAGTTTTCTACAATTGAAAGCCATAATTTAATTATTTCCGAAGGCAACTGTTCGTCCCATGTAAGTTTAAGTAACCATAATTTTGCATTAAAATTTTCATAGAAATTATGCATGGGGTCAGAAGACCCAGTGGATCAAAGATTTGTGAAATAACCGAGAGTAATCCACGTTTTGTAAAATTATTTAAAACGATTTCACTCGTCGAAAAATACAGTTCATCAGACTCGATTTGCCAGCTGAGACCTAATGTTTTACAGGGTTCCGTAGAACCAATATTTAAGTCGAGAGATGAATTGTTATTATTTAGTATTACTCGAGGTTCATTTGATTTCCACTTACGGAGGTTCATACCAGCTGTGGCCAGTTCAGAAGACACCTTGTTATGTATGTCCAGCGCATCTTGAATGCTGTCCCCTCCAGTTAATAGGTCATCGACGTAGAAGTCATGGATTATTATTTCGGAGATTTTATCGTCCTTGCAATCCATACCAATCTGCTTAAGACATCTGGTGGCAGGATAGGGTGCGCTGGCTGTGCCATACGTAACGGTGTTTAACTGGTACGCTTTCATGGGCTCTGATGGATCATTTCTCCAAACTATTTGTTGGAGAGGTCTGTCATCAGGATGTACGACGATCTGTCTATACATCTTTTCTACGTCTGCTGATAGCACGTACTTATGTTGTCGGAATCTAAGTAGTATAGATAGCAGATCATCCTGTACAGTGGGCCCCACTAATTGCAAATTATTATATGAAATACCGGAAGTAGTCGGACTGCTCGCATTGAAAACAACTCTCTGAGCTTAGTCGTTAAGCTGCTTTCGCGAATCACTCCATGGTGTGGTATAAAATATGCTAACCTCCGTGGATCAAATGAACATTCAGACATGTGTCCTAGTGTTAGATACTCTGACATGAATTGAGTATAATTATTTTTAAATTTGGGTTGACCCTTAAACCTACGCTCAAGAGAAAGGAGGCAAAGCTTGGCGCGTTGTAGGGAACCGCCTAAATTATCACGTGATTGTTTCAGTGGTATTCTCACACAGAAACGACCGTCTTGTAGACGAGTTGTATTTTTAATAAAATGTTCTTCGCACATTTTCTCCTCCGCGGAGAGAACTGATGTATCATGGCAAACCTCCTCTAGGTGCCAAAAACGCGTCAATAGGTTTTGAATATCATCGTTATTATCATTGTGCGAAGTGACGTTTTCCCTCAAATTTAGTTTTACTAAAAACGACTTAGTGTTAGAAATCGAATACGGTACTTGGCCATTATTAATTAAGGGGCCTGAGACTAGCCATCCTAACCTAGATTCAATGAGTACCGGCTTTCCGTTTCCTAAACTAATTTTACGTACCCCTAATAGGTCCCAAAAAACATCCGCACCAATAATTAAATCCGCCGACGATGGTGTGTGGAAGCGGGGATCTGCTAAACAGAGGTTACTAGGTATGTTAATGTCGTTTAAAGGTATTTCCTGACTCGGTACTTCGTCCGTTATATGAGGCAAAACGAAACAGAAAAGATTAGTATTAAAGTTTTCGTTCAAAGACTTTATAGGCACGCAACACATTTTGCCTATGTGAGACTTAGAGTTATTAATTCCTAATAAAGATTCGTTAACATTAACTATCGGTAACTCTAATAATTTACTCAATCTTTCCGTAATTAGGCAAGAAGTGCTACCGCTGTCTAGAATAGCGCGAGCTAAGTATTCCTTATTATTGTGACCGTATATTTTTATAAGGGAAGTGGCTAAAAGTACCTGATTTTTATTTCGTAGGTAGGTCGATACTTGCGCAGACAAAGTGATATTATTATTACCGATATGCTCATCTTCGCACGATGTACCAGGGAGAGATAGTGGACCGTCCTCAGGGCGAGAAGATAAATTGGGAGTTGTCTTGAGCTTCATATCTGAAACGTGAATCAAAGTATTGTGCTTTCCTTTACACACTTTACAGCCACTCGACTTACAACGGTTTGCAAAATGACCAAAACGTAAACAATTATAACAAACCTTAAACTGCGGTAATAATTCTAATCGTTGTTCAGAAGAAAGCCCTAGAAATTTTGAACAATTGTTTAGACTGTGCTCAGCCTTACAGTTAGGGCAAAGTTTGAACTGAGACATTTCGCTTTTCTCATTTAACCGATTTTGGGTCTTAGTGACTGACACCATGCTTTTAATTTTATTTTTATTTTGGTTAATTTGAGGATTGCGAGACAGTTCCAAAGTTTCTAATAGATCTGCACGATTTTGTATAAATGATAAAAATGACGCAAATGAAATAATTTTGTTATTATCCAAGTGACCTTTGTACTCTTCCCATTCCCGGTATGTCTTACTATCTAATTTGTGAGTAATAATGTGGATGAGTAAGGTGTTCCAGTGATTTATGGGCTCACCTAATGACTCAAGTGCACGTAGATTTTTACTCACGGAGTCTATCATGCGCTTTAAAATGAATGACGATTCCTTAGTAATTACCTCAATGTTAAATAATGCCGTTACATGGTTTTGAATTAAAATACGTTTATTATTAAAACGTCCGCATAATAAATTCCAAGCCACCGAATAATTACTCGCCGAAAATTCAATAGATTGTATTACGACGGCGGCTGTCCCTTCGAGCGACGCGCGAAGATAATGAAACTTGTTGATATCATCGATATCATCATTTGAGTGTATTAAGATAGAAAAAGTATCGTGAAACTCAAGCCAGTTGTCATACGACCCGCTAAATTTCGGAAGCTGAATAGTAGGCAATTTAACAAGCTTATTATTGTTAATACGTGAAAAATCTTTTTCACTGCCTAAACATTCAAGATTATTTTTATTTTGTCGAATAAGTTCCGTGAGCTTTCGAAAGAATTTTATAATACGTCGATTCGAAATCATTCCGCTCGTTTATTTGACTATTGATATCGTCCACTATACACTCCAATTTCAATTGAACCTCATCGTACTGTTCGTATAATAATTCAATTTTACTTACGCGCAATTGCAGTTCGCTAATCTGAGACGAGTTCAATGTATCCTTTAATTCACTAAGATAATTATTGAATGCCGTTAATCGACCTTTGTAACTTGCCCTTTTTTTAATTAATTCCCTTTCATCGGTCATTTTGAGATACAGGCGAAAATTATAATAATATCTGGAAATTGAACAATTATTGAGAAATTATCACTAAATATAACGAAAATAAAATATAAAAACACTGCACTGGTTATTTCCTTTTGTTTTCTTCAAAATTTCTTTGTCTCCGTCTTCAAGGCGACCCCGGACGTTCCAAGTTGTATATACTTGTTGTAAATCTCTAATTACGTAGATATTCAGTAGATTATAATTTCTCGATGAAAATCCTCAATAGCCGCTAGAATCCGGCTCGAAGCTGACCATGAATACTTTTTAATTCGAGGAGAAAAATAAAACTTCTTGATGCAGATATTATCGCCGTGTACTTTCAATTGACAAAAAAAAATTGGCGGTGGTTACAACTTAAAAACAACAAAGAAAAAAGAAATAAGTAAAACGTATGTAACGCAACTTCGTGCGTAACAAAAAACCACAGGCGTTTTCGTAGACAGACGGGTTATGCCGGACTTGCAGCGACTAAAACCCCATGGTGTTCCACCTTTGCCACATATTGGTAGGGCCAAGGGAACTTTTTCACACACATCCGCGACCCCATCAGCACTGGCCCCAGCAGCTCCTTTAGTTTTGCTTTATTTGGCATGCTCATATGAGTTGTGTAGCTAATTTTTTTTTAAAGTTTAGGACGTCATTGCCGTAAGTGTATTTGAATTCCCCACAATGGTAGAGCTCTGAGTTCATCCCGTTTATAAATCTAGTGCATAGCATTGAAGCTTCTCATAATTTTCTTACTGCACCAAAACATAATGCATTTAAATATTTATAATGTAATTGAATAAATTTGTTTACAGATGGCAAGTACAAGTGGCACATGGCGAGTTAGGAAAACTGCTCCGCCGACTCCTTCGCCGCCAGACGCTGACGAAGCCTCAGGCCCACGAGCACTTGTACTAAGTGATGCCATAGAAGCCGCATTACACGCAGCACCTTCTCCTTCTAGCAAGAAAAATAAAAAATCTAAGCCTAAAGTGTTGTTTGCTACTGGCATGCAACGCACTGGGTAAATTAATAACAAATTATTTTAACATATTTGCTACCAATATAATCTATTAAACATAAAACTTCCCATGAGCTGCATCACTGTAATTTTGTGGCTTGTTATTAAAGATTAAAAGTTAAGTTTCAACATTTTTATTTTGGTTTTTTTAGTCATAATAAATTAAAATAAATAAAGTAATAGGAAATTTGGTGTAAATTTTAAAGTTAATATAATATTATGTTCATACTTTTTATGTTTATATTTTGTTCTTTTTGTCTTCAATATCAATATAATAAATATAGTGCCTATAGCTTATCTATCAACTGAAGCGTGTTGTTAACATCACAATAGTTTTGCCAGCTAATATTTATATTGGCAATATTGAGAAAACGGTCTGCTTAAATTATTAAAATATAACATGTTACAATAAAAACAATAGATTTATTAGTTTTTAAAATCTTCTGCTCATATGTAATATGTTAAGTACTTAGTTGTATTACACGCGCCTTTTGGTTATAATTCCTCAGCTTTTTTACCATATTAGGAATGAACTGTGTAGTGGCGTAAGAATATCCACTTCTCTACATCATTCCATGGGTGTCGTAAGAGACTACAGAAGGAAATGAAACAGGGGATGGGCAGCAGCTTCTTCCCGTTTACAACTCAAAATAATTAAAAAAAACTGCAGTTACCAACCCGCCTGCCAAACCTGGCGACTATTAAAATATCTCTCCTACGAGGCAATTGATGGGGCAGGCCTGTTCAGCAGTGGACTGTTGATAAGCTGTGATGATGATGATAATGACTGAAACTGAAAAATAAAGAATAAAACAAAATGTGCAAGCTGCTTCTCATCTTTCTCGGCATATTGTAAGTAGACATTATTGTGATACACCAGAGTTTTGGTGTATTTCAGGTTATATGACTGAACAACCTATCACAGTATAGTTAATTTCATGACTCTTTATATTTTTATATTACCTGACACCTAGATACATAATTATCTATTATAAGCTGGTCTCTATTTTTCACTTGTATACATTCTGAGAGAGTGTGATATTTTTCCAGTTATACAACTTGTATTACTAAATTTAAAGAAAATATACCGTGTAGTAGCGTAAAATAATCCATATCCAAATTTTGTCCCTAAGACGCGGTTTATACAGAAGAGACGTGGCGAGGGCGTGTGACGGTGGCGGATAATGAAGGAAATATAAAATAAACCTAATAGTTATGTTGCATTGCATAGCGTCGTTTTTGTCGGAAAGAGAAGTGCGCTCGCGCCAGGCGCATCCAGGTGACGTCACCGCCACCAGGAGGCGCGCCAACGTAGCGCGTCCCATCTTTAAACGTATTATTATAGATTAGGTCTATTTTATGTTTCTTTGACTCTCCGCCATTGCCACACGCCCTCGCCACGTTTCTTCTGTCTAAACCGCGCTTCAGATGTTGTAAGCGACTGTGGGAAATGCCAGACGAACGTGACCTCGATAAACAATTGTTCGACCGTCTATTTTATGCCAGTTGTAAAATACCCAGATTGGGCAGAGTGACAAAGTTATGAAATGTTTATCTAGATTGTAGTCTCAATTTTGGATGTCACATGTGGCGATTTTGGCCAAATCAAACAAATAGTAAGTAAAATTGTATATTGTTTTATGTAGGTTTATTCTGGGTAAAATGGCTTAAATTTATATGTTTTACTAAATTATGAAAGCCTGTTGTCAAGCTGCTTTCGTCTTTGTTCGTCCTCCAGTTATTGTTTAAATTTGAAAATCGCTATGAAACAGGAGTACTAATGAAATAATCGATTTAATCATAATCGAATATCAATATGAACATGGCGGATGTGTTGCTCTTGTTGCCGTTTCATTGATAAGTTAGTGGCACTATAAAAATAGATGTGGTATTAGAATTACAGTGACTGATTAAAAATAACATTCTTACTTTCTGAGTGTTACCTAGTATGAACATTAAATAATAAAATATAATATCTATTAAATACTAATATAAAATGCATAGCCATTATGTAGAAAATCGTCCAAATACTTTTTTGCTTCTATTATACATACATATATATTATATACTTAAACAAAATAATTTATATATTTCCACCTTCAATTAAATGAATACATTGAAATTTAAATCCATCTCTGGTGATGGCTCAAATTGTGGTTAAAATTTTACTTTATAAGTAAGCCTTGAATTAATAATGTTAAAAAGGCTTTGTATTGACAAAATACATACTGTGAAATAAACGAGTTGTGTCAATATTTTTGTTTAATTTCCCAAACAAAAAATGACTTAAAATTTTATTACGTTCGAATCCCGTACGGAACAAGTATTTTGATGTTTGTCCCTGTGCAATTTATGTTTTTAAATTGCCTCCACTATACAGGAGACAATCCTACTGTGGGGTAACGTTTATTTTAAAAAAGAAAATAGTACTATGGACTGCTACTTCCCTAATATATAGTATAGTCGAGGTTACCTGTCTTACATCTTCCAAGGTTGGGTGTGACAGTGACATCAGTTATGCAGTTCCTATTAACCGGGCGGCTAAACGCGTATTGCTCAAAGAAGTTCCAGTGGCTATCGAAAGAGTCCTAGGACTAGATAGCTCACATTAGACCCATCCTCGATTCAGGCGTCACCAATGATTATGTGGGACATTTGTGATGGCGCGTTTCGTGGTCCATAAAAGTAAATTGAAAACTTCGGTCTTAAACTGCATATTCTGCCAACAAACTATGACACTGACACAGAGGCAAGACGGAAAGTCTCTACGTCTTGCACGGTCACCAATGTATCAATATGCATAGTAGAGTAAGTTATCTCTCGTTGGAATACTATCTCACATGAACGTATGTAGGTATGGGCCAGTCAGGCCAGAAAGGTTCTCGAGTGGCAGAATCCTACAGGTAAACTAAGTGTGTAAACCCCCCCCCCCCCACCCATGACGTAACGATTGGCAAGACATGCAGAAATCGATCGATGCAGGTGGCTCAGGTCCGTATTTTGTAGTATTCCTTGGAAAAGACCTATGATCAGCTGTTGATTTGTGATTGACTTATAATGGTGATGATGAACCGAGGTAGTACTTATATAATAATATTATAATTACTATCTAGGTTCAAAATTAGTACGATGATGGCTTTCTCGAATAAAGAATATTCAGTTATCTTAAAGTTAAGTTATAGCCTATATACACTGTTATCTTATTCATGTATAATCATGGACAAATTTAGAGGAACGAAAAAAGGTGTGTTTATTAATTTGGATTTTGCTTTTTATTCGTTAATTTAAAATTGCATATGTCGAAAAAACAAACGATGAAATGACAAAAATTAAGAAAAAAATTTTATAGGAAAGAAACATTTTGGTATTTAACATTTTATTAAGTTTTTCCTAAATACTTAGGAAAGCCTATAACATAATCATACAATCAGTACTTAGTGTTGCCCCCTCTACCTCTTGAACTGCTCCCAGAGTCTCCTTGGTATACTCCTAATCAAGTTATCAATAAAATTTTGAGACATTTTGTTCCATTCTGCCTGTAATGCATTTTTACGATCTCTCAAAAGGAATTCTTTTCTTAATTTGTCTTCCACGCTTATCCCATACAGGTTTTAAGCCGGGCGAGCATACTGGCCACCCTAAAGCATTGATTTCAACGGTATGTAACAACTATGGCCGCTGTATGGGACGTGCATTATCATGCATAAAAACAAATGTATCTTCTATAAAAAGGGGTCAATAGCACTACAATTTCTGTCAATATCTGTTACAGATCGTGTCGGTGTTAGTGACCCTATCACATTGACGCGGAGTTCCGTACGTGCTCCCATAAAAATACCTCCCCATACCATAACTGACCCTCCTCCATATGCCTCTTTTCCGAACACCGAACGTGTCTCTCCCGGACGTCCCCACAGTTTAATCCTTCTATCGCATCGTGATTCGGAGCAAAATTAACTCGGGCTACTCGATGGCATCTAGCAAGAGCAGGAAAGTGTGAATTTATTCCGGCAGATTTCAGTGTTTTTTCACACTTTTTGTGCATACTGTAACCCGCTTAGAGCTTCGTTCTTTCCTCAGAAGTTAAGGTTGATTTCTAACACACTGGTAACGTTGAACCGGTCATCTCTGGCCACAGTTTTTTGTTTTCGTCCCTGTATTGCGAGTCTCGTATATTGTCCGGTGTGTCGATATCTCTTGACAACTCAGTGTATCACAGATTTTGATACCGTCAACTAACGCATCTTTACCATAATTTTGAAGGAAAAAGTTAATAAATGGAAAAATAAAACACTTATGATTAAGCTATTATTTTTAATCGATGAATATAGTACTTCTCCGTTGCTTTATAAATGCACTGTTTCCCATGGCTGCAAAACCACTAAAGTAGCACCAAAAACATGACACAGGTAAAGAAGCCACAAAAATGGCTACTTTACCTATACAGTATTTCTCGATAAAATGAAGCCTTTATAACTGAAATTGGTAAAGATACCCTTTCGCTTTACTTTCTCTGTTTAGACATATGGGTATTTTAATTAAAAAAGCTATATACGGGCAATAAATGCTGGTAGGTAAAGATGACATGGACTCCATTGAAATTCTCATACAAATGTAATTAATTATCAGGGCTGCCACCAGTTTAAAAATGATGTTAAAATGTACGCTATAAAACATTGATTAAATGCAAGTCAGACACTCGCATGAAGAGTTATATAATGTATATCAGGCACTAGTTGTTTCACATTTATCATACTTATACTACCATAGTTTCAACTAAATTGTATTGATAATTAATTATACTTAATGAAACTTATTATTCCAATTTATATTTAAATTTGACATCAAAATATAAAATTCCACGCCGGTTTTTATAGGGATTTGGTAAAATTTGTACTTTCTATGTTGTACCTTACTATATCATTTTCAAATACAATACTTGTATCGGATACTATGGGCCAGTAAAACCCGCCATTTTTATATCTCATGAATTTCGCGAAAACACCT